CTATTCAAAAACCTGTACGAGTAATGGGGGTCGAAGGCATTGACGTAATCATCCAGCGGCGTCGCTCCGATCCCCAAAAAAGAACCCAAGAAAAGGGTTGTGACGGCAAGATACACCCTTGCCATTGTAAACCTGTTGAGAAATGCGTTTAAACCCTTTGAGAAATGCGTTTAAACCTATGGAGAAATGTGTTTAAACCTGTTGAGAAATGCGTTTAAACCTGTTGAGAAATGCGTTTAAACCTGTTGAGAAATGCGTTTAACCGCTTAGGAAACTGCTGTCGAAACACTATATGTATGTATAAGTAAGTTGGCGTGATACGGTAGAAGACCAACATTATTGTGTAACCTGGTTTTAAACTGGCACATTTGGAGACTGGCAAGTCCAGGGATTAATCCAGTGGTTCTCAACCTTCCTAATGCCGCGACCATTTAATACAGTTCCTCATGTTGTTGTGACCCCCAAACCATTAAATTATTTTCGTTTCTACTTCATAATGATGTGTTTTCCGATGGTCTTATGTGACCCCTGTGTAATTGTCGTTCGAACTCTCCCCCCCCCCCCCCCCCCAATCCAAACGGGTCGCGACCTTCAGGCTGTGAACCACTGGACTAATCGAAATGGACAATCTTTGTGATACGCCTATGTTCCTTGATGATCTAAGCGCGCGCTCATTTTGCTTAATCAACATCATTTTGACCATGAGACATTTGTAGATAGTATTAATTGAAACGTAACTCTTCGTTCGTGGAGTTCTCCTGACTTACGGTGCTTCTAGTATGAGACGTTGGCGTCTTCTCTAGAGTAAAGTATTTGACTCCGTAATTAGAACAAGGGTTCTTTAAACTTTCTGTTCCATGGACCCCATTGCTAGTCAAGATGAAGGCAACGGAACTCGTTATCCGTCATTTCGAAGGTCACGGCCCTTTGTTAAAATACATTTTTTTTTTTAAAAGGTATTTAATAAAATTACAAACGAAATGCTGTTCACTGACCGCTGAGCCTTTTCATAGACCCCCCCTCCCAGAGCCTTTTCATAGACCCCAGAGCCTTTTCATAGACCCCTGTGCCTTTTCATAGACCCCCTGAGCCTTTTCATGGACCCCTGAGTCTTTTTATAAATCCCTGAGCCCTGAGCCTTTTCATAAATCCCTGAGCCTTTTCATAGATTTATTAAATGAAAGAAATTAATTACTAACAGAAATTAAAGAAAGAATATCATCTGGAAAAAGGGCATACTTCAGTAGTCAGAAAAAACTCAAAAGTAAAAACATTACAAGAGAAACACAGAAACTATTTATAAAACTGTAATCAGACCAGTTTTAACATATGCAAGTGAAACTTAGACCCTAACGAAAACGGCAGAAAACCTATTACACACATGGGAGAGGAAAGTTCTCAGGAAACCAACAAAAGCTGAATATGGATGGAGAATACGAACCAACCATGAATTGCACAGTCTATATCAGGATCCCACGATAGTAGCAGAAATAAAAAGGGGCAGGCTACGCTGGGCAGGACACTTAGAGAGAATGCCAAAATGACAGAGGAACGAAGAGGGTGCATCACCAATACCCCAGAGGAAAAAGCCTCAAAGGCAGACCTAGGCTTAGATGGATGGACGATGTGGGAAAAGATCTACAACTGAAAATCGAAGCATGGAAAAGAAAAACATTAGTTGGGTCTGAGTGGAAGGAAGTAGTGAGGCAGGCCAAAGCCCTACATGGGCTGTAGAGCCACAGGGGTGGATGGATTATAACGCTAGCAATAATTACGACAAGTTAATCGAGCGGATTAACGTTTGTGAGATACTAGGGACATTTTAGAAGAAATGGGAAATTCAAAATTATTTACACATTTAGATCTGAACAGTTTTTTTTATTTTTTGGCAAATGGGGATGAATAAAGAAGCTACGCCGCCAACAGCGTTCACCACTGAACAAGGACTATTGGTGGAGTGGACAGTAGTGCCCCTTTGGGTTAGTAAACTCCACAGCTACATTTTCGAGATTCATGAGAATTATGTTACAAGGAATACCCAATAAATGTAGAACATTTTGTGGATGATATTTGTGTACATTCAAAGGATTTAGTTCCACAGATCCAAATGCTAAAATTCGTACGATCTAGATTGAGAGAGCATGGAGTCACCATAGCGCCAGACTAATTACAATTTGCCAAAGAGGAAGTTGATTTCTTAGGATATAAGATGGGACAAGGACTCCTTAAATCTACCGAAATGAACGGAGGCAAAATACTAAACACTAGACCCCCCCACCCAATCAAAAAGAAATGAAGTGCATTTTAGGACTGTGTAATTTTTACAGCAATTTTATTCCAAAATTTTCAGATATTATGGCACCAATTGTTGAACAGCGGATATTTAAAAAAAAAAAGGGCTATAACATAATATTTAAGGTTAAAAAAATATTATTTTTTTTTTAAAAATTCCATCTGGCACCGGTCCCTGGTGCAATGGAAAACTTATCCACCGTTTCCTGGTGCAATGGGAAATGTATCCACCGGTCCTCAAGAGTTTTGAAAACACTGGTGTAGACTGTAGAATAACAGTTACTGTGTATTTTTAGTGTTTGCGTGCCGTGCGGGTGCACAACTGTTGCCCGGGGCGCGACGATTGGGTGCGACGGTTGGGCAGAGCGGAACGAAACCTTTTAAAATAATTACTATTAAAACCTACCTTACGGTTGCCTCTCTGAAAGAATGACTATTTTTTTTTTACTTTTTCTTTTATACAGTCACGTCTATCGAAGTCTATCGGAGCTTACGTTGTGATTCTTATAGAAAACATCTAACGTCCTTTCGAGTGTTTGATTCTAATCTAGAACCAGCATGCTCCACGGAATACATGCAGATGATAACGTCATACGCCATATCATATACTTTGAAAAACTGACTTTAAAAAAAATAAATTATTTTTAAAATGGTTCCACTTCGGTGAGTCCATTACCTTAAAGCGGAAGTAAACCACGGTAGGAGACTTGAAGCGAATCGCTCAGTGTCGTGTTGCGCCAACCGTTAAACCTGTCATAGGATTCCATTTGAATCACAAAACTTTCAATGGTTTCAATCACGGAAGGCTTTTGTCAAAGGAAAATTTTTAGAGGTCACAAGGTTTTTTTTTCTTCTTTTAATTGAAATATTTCGTTAGCAAGTTTTATTTAAAGAGTTACACAGCCTGCTCAGGAACACACACAGTTCACGAATTCGATGATCCAGTGAGTGAGTCTTTTCTTTGAACAGATATAATAGGTCAGAAGATGGAGGCTAATATTGGTGAAGGTGAAAAGTTTAAGGTGAAAATCTTACTTCCTGTTTTTGGACTTCCTAAGCTCTGGTGTACTGTGATGGGGCTAACCTGGGGAAACCGCCCCCCCCCCCCTTTTTTTTCCTTCCCAAGAAGCTTAAAAAAAATAATTCGTGAAAACCGATCGAAACACGCGTAGGTGGAGATGGTTTAGCGGTCTAGCATGTCTGCTTTACCCTTCGCTAGTATATAAGGAGGAGAGATTTATTTCGATTGCCCTATATGCCTTCAGCTTAGTGACAAGATTGAGACCCTTTCGCTACCAAACTCTCCTGCGAAGCCTTCCAAATCCAACATTATAGTTTTTGAGAATTTGGTTACTATCGTCATCTATTCTTACTGACCATGGAGAAGGTGAGAAGGTCCCGCCCAAATATGTGAATTTTCCCCACTACTTGTCTTTGTAACCCCTCCCTGGAGATGACTAGAGCAAGATCTCATTTTTTTTTTCTTTATTGATGGCGAGGCTGTAGTTGTCGCAGGCTTTAGCAAAGCGATGACGTCTTTCCTGCATTTTCATCTCCGAACTTACATTTGGGGCACAGTCATCAGCAAGCCAGAGGTCTCGAATGACCGCTTCTTTCACTTTCGTAATGGCTGGCTGTCTCCTAAGATTAAATAGTCGCCACACCATTACCCAGTGGTGGTAGTAGTAGCAGATGACGTCTGGACATAGTATAAAGTCAGGTATTTATATCACATCGTTAAAAATACGTCGTTAAACTTAATGATGTTATCCCTCAGTCTATTTGTACAAGGATATGTAATCTGCACTCAAGGGTCATGTCAAATGTTTTAACACTACTTCGCCACCCCACAGGCCAGGGTTTATGAACTGAAAAACGAAGTTTCGAAATGACTTAGCTATTGAAGTAGATCAGCCAATCAGTCTAAGGGTAGCGGCTGCTATTTATAGAGAGCTGTGGGAAACTCATTTCCACCCATCAGTCTAAGGGTAGCGGCTGCTATTTATAGAGAGCTGTGGGAAACTCATTTCCACACATCGGTATGCTGCTATTTATATAGAGCTGTGGGAAACTCATTTCCACCCATCGGTATGCTGCTATTTATATAGAGTTGTGGGAAACTCATTTCAACCCATCGGTATGCTGCTATTTATAGAGAGCTATGGGAAACCCATTTCAACCCATCGGTATGCTGCTATTTATAGAGAGCTATGGGAAACCCATTTCAACCCATCGGTATGCTGCTATTTATAGAGAGCTGTGGGAAACTCATTACAACCCATCAGTATAAGGGTAGCGGCTGCTATTTATATAGAGCTGTGGGAAACTCATTTCCACCCATCGGTATGCTGCTATTTATATAGAGCTGTGGGAAACTCATTTCCACCCATCGGTATGCTGCTATTTATATAGAGCTGTGGGAAACTCATTTCCACCCATCGGTATGCTGCTATTTATATAGAGCTGTGGGAAACTCATTTCCACCCATCAGTATGCTGCTATTTATTGAGAGCTATGGGAAACTCATTTCCACCCATCGGTATGCTGCTATTTATTGAGAGCTATGGGAAACTCATTTCCACCCATCGGTATGCTGCTATTTATTGAGAGCTATGGGAAACTCATTTCCATTTGAACTTCTTCAAGACTTAAACTTTTAAAAAATAAATAAAAAAAAGACATAAAAAAAAAGGGAGCACAAGATGTATGTTAAAGAGTTTATTGTTCCCCAAAAAACATCAATTATTATCCATAGTAATGTTTGCAAACTTGAATGAGACAACAGTACATTTACGGATTTATTTGCATGCAAACTGTAAAGCACGGATGTAGTGTTTCTTTCCTTTTTTTGGAAATTACTTTTTTAAAGATCCTTTAAGTTCCAAACCAGTTGTCATTTTCTTATCACCAGAAGGCTGGAAATAACATAATGGTTTTAAGTTTAAATGTTTAAGAAGAAGAATGTTCAGATAGAAAATAAAAATGACCAAAGGTTCTGTATTTCTGCTCACATATTTGGTAGATATTTATATATATATATTTTCTGCTCTCATATATTTGGTAGGTATTTATATATATATATTTAAAAAATTTAGAAATCACTTCAAATCATTCTACTATAGTGAGTTAAGACAAACCACATTTTATTTCATAAATACACACATAGATGTCTTTATAGAAAAAAAAACAATATTTCAAAAAAAAAATCTTTTTTTTTTTTAAATTTATTCCAAACTTAACCAAAATTCATTGACATGAACGAATTTATAAATTGAAATAAAATATTTTAGTTTGAAGTTTTGGCTCTGACTGCTCTGAAAACACTCAATTTATAGTAGCAGTATTATTATTATAAACACTGAAATGGACTACCGGTAACCAATTTTTTCAATTAGTTTTGTTGGTTTTCTTTAAATTTGGGTTCTGCAATTTATTATTAATTTGAGGAGGATGGAGAAGATATGAAACCACAGGATCTCTTTTCTAACATACCTCCTAGAATTCTCCCCGATGACCTTGTCAAGATTGGACAAGTATTTGATTAAAATTTTTAAAAGGGGCTTTAAAGTCAAAAAAAAAATATTTAAAAAAATGATGTAATCATAAAAAAAGAGAAGCCTTGTTTGGAGTTGGATTTGGTCCACCTCTGTCAAATATTTTGTACTCTTTTCAGAATAAGGCAGAAGTGCTTTAATTAAAATTAAATTATTTTAGACACAGCACTGCGTTAGTTTTTATAGATTTTATTTCTTGCAGTGGTTTTACATCATCCAGTTATAGAATTCCTAGAATGTCATACACTGGAACATGGCTGCGTAAAATGTCAAGTTCTGATACAAACCATGGCAATAAGTGATTTGATCAGAAACTTCATCCACTTGTGTGGCTTCAGCCACCGACTGCCAATTGATTTCATAATAAAGATAGTTATTCAGTATCTTGACCTAATTACTTATGGACACAGCCAAGGGATGCATTTCAATTTCCCAACAAAATATACTGCTACTGCTACATTTCAGTGCCACAAGCTAATGATGTAATGAACATGTGTTTATGAGCATGAAAGTTCAACCAAATAAAGAAGAAGAAAAAATTAGGGACGGAAATGAATACACCGTACATGTGGAGTTCACCACACATTACTCAAATTAGTTAAGTAGATATTCCTGGGATTTACCCCCCATGTCTCATAGTAACTGTAAATTTACCTTCCTGTTTCCACATTCATTTTTTCATTAATTGATATAATACATTTGGGAATTGGTTATTTGGGTGCTTTGTCAATTTTTTAACCTTCCCATTTGTACTTTAGCTTTTTTAATATTAACCTCATTAGAGGCAGATTTTATCGATGTATTCAAGCGGGCTGTTTACTAACTAAAACTGTAAAGCTCTGATCACTCAGATATTACATTATTGCAGATCAGGGTCAAATGCGGCTTCTAAATTTTAAATAAATAATGTGCCCACTAGATACAGCACAGCGTTAATAGCCGTTATAGAATCTAAACAAATAAGCATAATATTGCAAATTAAGTTGATAGGGCAAATTCTAAACATAGCTCCATGATATTAATGCTTGAACATCAGTACAATAGAATAGTATTATATCTGGAAGAAAAGCTTTTCCACAAAAGAAAACCAATGAAATTATTCAATTTATTTGTGATAGATTATGCACTGCACACAGTAACATATCTACCAATTCAGGAGTGGGCAAACCGTTAAGGGTGCATGCAAAACTCAAAAAATCTGTAATGCAAAATGTTTTCATTAGGCTAACCCAATTTTTTAAGGACATTAATAGACATGACTTTTAAGTATGGGAAAACTTTTTCAGATCATGAAATATCACACTAGTGTGGTAAATTGAAATATATTTCAAGATCAAGCCTTGGTTTCCCATGTAAGAAAAAAAAATTCACTGAGGGGCAAGCAAGCCATGGTGGCCCACCCCTGTTGCAGTTCATTCAATATGCTTGTAAGCTTAATCTTTCAGTGACCGGTAAAAAAATTTTTTTTTTAAGAAATCACAGTTGCCCAAACATACAGGAAATTTTAAGTATAAATGGTGTTGATAATGAGATGTCCTTAACACAATTTTGTGTAAACAAAACTTATCCAATTTTAACTGCATAGAACTGGTCATGGAATTCTTATATCCTTTTTATATATATATAGATATATATGATGCTTAATATTTCAAATCACTACCAGTAAATCCAAAACAATACTAAATATTTAATATATTTATATTTGGAAAGAGAATATACATTTAAAGTCATCATTCATTCCATGCATTCATAAAAATAAACATAAATTTATGCATTGTATTTACACACTAAAAAAAAAAAGTACCAGTCTTTTAGTATGATTTGAGTTTAACTGTACAATTGGAGATTTGTGAAAAATGAATTGCGATCGAGTCAAAACTTAAAACATTTGTTAGCACTTATTTGTGATCTAGCCTAACCCAAGAGTTGATTATATTCCATATTTAACAGGCCATAAAGAGACAAAGAGAGTTGTTTGCTATAGTGAAATAACAAAGTCAACTTTGCATACTGTTAGCATGACTACGGAAACCTTTATTACAAAATATAATAAGCTTTGGCATATTCCATTCAAAAAAAATATATATATATTTTTACATACACCCAATAATAATGTAATATTAATTTGAATATTTAGCATTTCGTTAAACTGACCAAGTTATTAATTATTTACTGAGTTAAATCAAATTTTTCTAAAGCCAGATCTTGATTCCAAAGAGTTACAGAAGTCTCGACTATTAACTCTTTTTCTTATAATAGCTACAGTAAAGCAAATTGTGAGACTCCATATAAAGCCGATACAATATCAATTTTTTTTTTTTAAATGTTAAAACTTGTAAGTTTGTAAGACTCAAACGAGGAGAGGAGTAGTAATATAAATATGGCAGCTCCTGTGTGACTCTTTATTTGGTAATGGCTTCTTGAAACTTAAAAACAAATTAAGTTTTAAATTTAGACAGGATACATACCTTTTTAACACTCAGTTTATATATGATTTAATATTGCAGATGGCTTATAAATTCATACTAGTGTTCGATATATAGTCCTAGCAGACGCAAATGCACTATGCAAATAGTTCAGTTTCCTTGAGGACATCAACATAAGATTGGACCTTTCCTAGTCTCAGGATAGAAAAGTGATTTGAATGTTGGTTGGGATCACAGTAACCTGAGAGATCTCATAGGATTCAGCCAAATTGAAAGTGAAATCATACCCCACACTTTTTAAAACCATGATGGATATACACAGTAAAATTATTCTAGATATTATTGTTGCTTGCGACTCTGGACAACTCCCCTCTTTGAAAGCTTGAGAAACTCCATCAATCCTGGTAGTTCATAGACTTACTCTGTTGTTTACTTTCACAGGATGCTTGCATGAAGTAGTGATGGCACCTCTTTTTTTCTTCTTTCATTTATTTATTATACCCTACCTAGTAAAACAAAGGGGGGAAAAATGAAAACAGAAGGGTTATTCTTGAGCTGATGATAGTGTTTGGCACCAACAAATTAATTGTATTAAAACTCCATGTAATGTATAACTATTAATTTTAAAAAGTTAAAATAGCCATAAGTAACGTTGTTTTATACACATGATTTGTATGATTGCCAATGTTATTTATGTTAAGGATACATTTGCGTTAGTTGCCACAAGCATAAGCATTATAAAATTACTTTATATGCAACATAATCATACAAAACAGATCTTTAAACTTTGAACTGACACCGTTTTCTTTCTACAGTACTAACCTAGAAATTTCACCCACATCACATCAAATATTCTTTGTTTTCTTTATTTACCATAAGACGATTTAAAAAAATTAACTTTATTTTGTTTCAACCTTATTAACATGTGGCACTTAGTCACACTTATTTTATTAGATTTGGCAAGAATTCATTTCCTCTTTACAAGAATGCAGCAATATTATTTTAAAAATCTGAGATTAATTTTTATTCCCTTTGAAGAATCTGATCATTTCTTTTCATTGCAGTATGGGTTGGAGTAGATTGCTTTTTTTTTTACACTGAGATAAGATGATCACTCATTTGGGAACTGAAGAAAGCTAGCTATAGTATTTTATAAACCTAAGTTGAGAGAATGTATTACAAGTTGAGCTGCTAATAGTGCCCCTAGCAAACCAGGCTAATGGATTAGGAAATAAGTTCCTCATTTTGTACCAAATCACAGGTCTGTTTTAGTAACATTAGTTTCAAGAAAACATGTGCCGAAACTGCATACATGCATTTCATGCAAGTTTTTTTCACTTGTAGTTTATATAAAAGAATTTATAAAAAATGTACTTATAAGCTTAATCAAAGACTTACAGATAATTTTTATAAATTTACTATCTACTCTTTTGGTTATTTAAAAAATCTTGAACCAAGTTGTAAAACATAATGTGCACTTGGACTTTTTAAAATATTTTTAAACATTAATAAAATATTGGGTTTCTGCATTGTTAAAAGTTTTTTTTAGTCAACAGTATGATAAAGTAGTTCATTTTCATAGAGATTTGCTTTGGTTAACATCATCACACAGGTCACTCAGAGTAACAAATTCTTGTTTTTCTTTGATAAGTATTTGTAAGTTTTATTTACCTTAGACACTAAGATTTATGCGGACACCCTCCTCAATTATATGCAAGTTAAAATGAATTGATTTACCACAAAACATAAATAAAAATACTTTTCCATGGAATTTGGATTATAAGCTTCAAAGTTTAAACTCGATCAACAATGTAAATTTGCATACATTTTAAATTTAGAAAAAAAAGCTATTTGCGCACATGTTTTGATGATCCTGAACGAGGGACATCTTCTCTGGATCCACTCTCTCGTCTGCCTACAACACCTTGTGCAAGACCAGATATAATGCTGCCTTGCTGTGTCTGTCCCATGGACATGCGTGTTGACTCCCTTTGCATGTCTGAACTTGTTGGTATACCACGATGTAAGCGAGTACTGGTACGCCGCTCTCGCTCTCTTGAAATTGGCCTTGGTGAGGTATCTGTGAAAGTTAGTTAGATATGGGAAATGCACCTTTTATTTATTTTTATATAACAGATGGTTTTAAAATAAGGTAGTGACTGAAATGAGAATTTCGCTATTTTATTATTTATCTTCAACTGTCAACTGATTTATATGTCAATTCATTCCACGTACCGACAAACTCACACAATTTTTACTGTTTTAATTGGTCTTTGTTAGCATTGCATTTAAAGTTTAACATGTTTATCTGTAAGCGCTACCATGTAAAATTGAAAGATATTCCAATGAAACCTATCACCATTGACTGTAGAGTGCTGAAAAAACTGACCCCACAATGAAGATGTCAATCCAGTGCATCCAAATTCATCATACAAAAAGTATGCCAAAGCTACAGACAGGAAGGCAACAATAGCAAGGTTTTGACTGACTTTTCCTATTAAGGCACTAGAAAACACCAGATTCAAGATAAAATTCTCATAAGCATGAAATTGGATGAAGATATTTCTGGTAGATGTCAAGCCTTTAATAGGGAATGTACGGCCCATTATAGCAGTTCAACCTGAGGCTAGAGGGAGTTTTAAAAAAAGGAGACAGAAGAAGAAACTTAACACAACTTGCATTCTTTACTCATAAGATATTAAATAAATCATGTATTTTGTTGTTGCTTTTATTGTTGTTGACTTATCACAACATAAGACATGTACATATCTAAGCACATATCAAACAGATGCCAAATAAATGGTAGTACTTATGTACAGATGTGCATTAGCCTCATATGTAAGTGAACAAACACTCTAGACATTTTAAATTTGTGTCCAACTAACTGAATTCTATTACTCCATATGTTTTATTTAAAAATATAGCGTTTTATTGGGACTGTTGAAGCTTTTCTTATCAAAGCCAAGACAATTTTCTATTGGTTTTCTAATTCTGAAAAAAAAAATTATTTAAACGTCAAAGGTGCAAAAAGCTTATTGAATAATAACAAAAAAGAAATGGCATATATAATAATGCACACGCAAAACTTAAAATTAACAAGTATAACAATCATGCACCACCGACTAAAAATATAATAGTAATTTTTTTAAAGATAAAATTGCAAGGTTAAAAATAATTAAGATGAAATTTTACAGTAGAAACTTGGTAATTCAGTGTAAGGGTTCTAAGACTAAGACACCAAAATAAAAAGGACTCATATTTCAAGTCTTTCTCATGTTTGCAACAACACATGGTACTTTTGACACCCTCTCCATTGTCAGCTTCAATTTAAATCCTTTGCAATTTCAAAATTTAGTTTCAAATCCTAACACGCCACTTCATTTGAAATTAGTAAGGTTCTATAGAACCTATCATTTCCTCAGAATAGAAAGAGTTCATTTGGTAGTATGTGCACACGACATCTTTTATGTTGACATAGAATATCTATTGTATTTATTAATTTTTGATTAAATTCACACAAATACATTTCATCCATTTGCTAAAATCCAAATACACAAATTACACAATGAAAAACTGAACAAGGTTATAAAGATTCAAAGTGGTAAATTCAGTCACTCTGGGAAAAAAAAGTATGCACTAAGATAAATTAGACTTTAAAGATTTATAAAATGAAAATACTATTAAAAAACAGGAGCCTGAAAATATGAAATGTATTGCAAGTACTGTATATTTATATATATATTTATAGAGTAAGCTAGGAGTTAGTACTTTTTTAAAATAAAAATCTGTTTAACAGACAGGAGCTGAATAACTTCAAAATACTAGTAGACTCATCGGAGATTCATCTATCCACAGCTTTAAATATAGCAAGTTACTAACAGCAAGTTACAGCTTTAACAGCAAGTTAAATGTCAATGCCTTCATATTATTATGCAAATTTATCAAATTTGGCACCTTACCCTCTTTTTCATTTTATTTTAAGTCTCATTATGCACAACAAACAAAATATAACTTGGTGAAACCCCGCTGAAATGTGCCTAAAAATAACCCGAATGGGGATAAAATACGGTCCTCAAATTTCATATATTCATTCACACAATTTTTTTTATCAGTGCATGAAAAAAAGATTTAAAAATGTATTCTACAACACAATCACACATCCATTAAAACTAGAAAATGGCAACACCACAAAGCTCATTAGATGCAAGAAATATTAAAATCCGTAAACTTTAATGGCATGACCCAACTTTCTATTTTTCAAATTTTTAACAATCTTCGCACAAAACCCTTCTTGTATGCAATCCAATTTAATTAATTTTATGAACCCAATTCACACATTAAAGATGGGTTCCACTGTGTTACTCTAACACACAAGTTAGCAATAACTAACCAATCTATGTTTTTTTTGGAGATCAAGCATTTAAAACTTAGCACAAACATTATTTCAGCTAGTTTTTTTTTGTCAATAGATTAAAAAGAAGCTTCTATTTGGATTTGTAAAATGAAAGCACTTGTAAAATTATTCACCTTTTTTGTAAATCCATTTTTAAGAGAAAAATGAACGTAAGTGTGTGAAACAGTCTTTTCAACTTGAACACATAAATACCAACAACATGCTAATAGTTATAAGAAGTTTGGTAAATCTACAAATATACCCTAAAGAAAAAAAAACCACACACACACACACAAAAATTAAATTAAGAAAATGATCAGAATCTACATTTTAAGTGAAGTTTTTTTTTTAAAAGAAAAAAGTTAAGAAATTACTAGATTTTGGATAGGGGTGGATTGTAATCACAGAAAATGAATTTTTAATTGATAGAAAAGTCTAAAATTATTTAAATTATTTAAACACATCCATACATAAAATAGAGATCAAGGTCAGGGCAAGTGTTAACCCTATAATTTTCATAAACGGAAAAATCATAAGATTCCTTATCCAATGCACTTTAAGAAAATGTATAAATGATAGTGTGTGTAAAATTCAATTTTTATGGCAATTTATTTTAGGCAAGCATATCTAAATGTTAAAAATGAGTGACCTCTCTGAGCGAATGAACTTGACAGTCATATAGTATTGGTTGGCGTCACAGAGACATTGCACTTGACAAATATAAGGTTAAAATTCAATATCCTTAAAAGTCTTTCATTTGAATTATTTTAAAGGGTTTTAAAAAGAGATATACAAGACCAAACATAAGTTAAATTAAGATTTTTTTTTAAATCACACATCTCAAATTTTAATTAATATCATCCTATTGAAAAGTTTTGAATACGGAAGAATTTAAGTAAATTAGTTGACCTATAGTCCTATTCTTTTTTTAAAACATTTACAATTCAGGCACGACCAGCTTGTTAGTCTCTTGTTGTATCATAACATAAGATTAGAAAAAACAGTCAAAGAATTTTATATATTTATATACAAGAACAAAGTATGTACAGTAAAAATTGTACAAGTATTTACAAAATTATACAATACCACAAAAAAACATTACAGTCACAAATCTAAAAGCACCTTAATTTTCCCCAAAGTCAGAGCTTATAGAATCCAATAACTATTACTACTCAAAAAAAAATTATTTTCAACCCATTTTCTTGATTCAAAGAGGAGAGGGAGAATTAACAACATTGAAACAGCTATTGGAATGCCTTGTCTGTACTTTAAAAAAATTATAGACATGCTGAAGCTATTTAAGAGATGAATTATTGATTTCATAGTTCAATTCTAGAAATGAGCTTTCAAAAATGTTTCTAGCGCACAATATTACAATATTGAAATGTCTAATGTTAACAGATATACCATAGTTTTAGACCTTAACAAACCCACTCACAAAACAAAAAATGTACAATGCTGCTTGATAAAATATACAAGTATTAAACAATGATAATAGTACAATAATTCTTTCAAATGAAATGAAAAATTTACTTAGGATTTAAAGGAAAATCTGAGAATTTGACTTCTGATGGGAAACAAATGCTTGTAATCAATTTTCTATAAAATAATTATGCTAATGACAGCATAAGGTTGCAAGAGCAAATGTTAAGAGGAAATATGCTTAGCAACTCTCCAACAGCACCCACACAAAAATCATGTGTTTGTTAAATATGATATACCTTTAAAACAGCATTTCACATAAATCCCATTTCACATAATCTATCTGGTGTGTCATTATGTTACTTAACTACTAGTGTAGAAACAATAAATTGGACTCACAAAAACTTATTTGAAAATATTGCTTCACAAAAGAAAATCCTTGCCCCCTTTCTTTTAACAAATGACATCCTTTAACTGTCAAATTCACTTTGTGATAAACTTTCCATAACCATTGCACATGATCATATATAATTCCAGTGTAACCAGATATATGAATGTATAATCAACGTTTTCCTTTTGCTTGTCCATCAGCGGCCATGCGTCTGAATTTTGAGCCATCTGTAGTCCCCACTGGAACAGGTAGTCCTGAACCCTTAAAGCTAATTCGCCCCCCTGAAGATGGTGTAGCTAGGTGCTCACTAACTCGACTCTCCCCAGCAACAGCTTCCTGAGATTCTGAGCCTTTTGTAGTCAATGAGAGTCGTACTGGAAGCCGTTCCTTTGCCCTCCCTGAATGACCTCTTACATCTAAATGAGAGGTTATGGAAGAAAAACAATGCATCAGAGTGACATAATTGACTGTCCCCTTTTTAAATTACCTACATTTAAAGTAAAAAACCAGTAGTAATTTAATGTGGGTAAAAAAATCTTCATGCATTAAAAGAAAATACCAATAGGGTAAGATTATAGGAAATTACTCTTGTAATGTGATACAAAAACGCTTAATGCAATCAAGATAAATTAAATTATCAGACGGCCAACTACAAAAAAAGAACTATCTGATAAGTTTGAGTTGTATCTGTAGAATTATTTTTTGCTTAAAACATTTTGTTCACACAACTGGATTGAAGCTATTGGGCAGGATAAAAAGAGTAAAATCAACCCAGAATACTTTCATTAAAATTAAGCTGCACTGGCCTATTCTATTTTCAATTTAAAAATAATTTTTACATATTGCCTCATCAATATGTTTTAAAAGTTCACCCATGATTTGTTTAATATCTTTTAGAATAAAAACTGATAAGGACACTAATTAAGAAACAATACTCTTAAAATCAGCTATGAAATTTAATTTTTTAGGAAGGATTATAAATAATGTATTAAATATAAGATGAGTTTATTTCACTAAGATCACATGCTACTGAAAAAAATAGTGTATACCACAATAAGCTCCTTGGTAATTTATAAATGCAAAATTTCCACTACAAATCAAATATTTTATTAGAACTAGAAACAATATTAGAAACCATATGTAAAATGCACCAAGTTCATTAACTTTATTCACATTTAATAGAATAATTAGTGCCAATAAATAAGACACTAAAGAAACATCCAAAGTTTACAGAGAGGAAAAAAAATTATTTTTTTGAAATAGTAATTCTCAAGGTATTCATGTATGGCTGTAAGACTGTGTTCAATAGGTGTGCAATATAAAATTTCCAGAAGTTAGCACTAATTGAGATTCTCATTAAGTGTGTTACTTGAATGCATGTTTTGTCAAGTAACTTGAGCAGATAGGAGGTTCATGCACTTAGCCATAGCTTGCTTCTAGTTTTAAAAGTAACATTCTGGTACTTTTGGATAAAATGTTTGAAAAATAGTGATATTGACATAATTTGATAAATCGTAACTAGCAACCTATCTGTCAGGAATGAAATTAGTGTGATTTAAGGATAAGGAACTCTATAATTTCATAAAGCATAATACTATAATACAGAAATGGAATTTGCATTGTTAAAAATCATAACCTTTTCTCACTGAGTAAAGCCACTTATGAAAATGCTTAAACAATTACAGCATGCAAAGCATAGGGAGGGATTAAAATTTGCAAACAATTCAATGATAAAATTACAACCTATAAAGATGCAAAAGTACATAATCTGTTTAATCTATTTAATATTTTAATTTCTTTTTTTAAACAAAAAGATTAAATATGCATGTGCATATTTTTTTTTAATGGCAAAGAGGGCACTACTTGTAGATATTTTGATTTGGTGTCACATCTACAAATGAATAAAATCATCATGTATATAATATGATCAATAGCAATTTTTATATAACACACAGCTTTGTCCTTAATGGATAAACTAACAATTGGGGCATCAAAACAATGAAAAAAAAAAAAGTATAAAACTCACTGAAATCAAAGACTTCCAGACAGGATTAAGATGGCATGCACTTTACAAGACAAGTATTTCTTTTAATTAACGCATAGAACTGTTAAGCCCTTTTCCAATAAAATACTAAATAAAATTAATATTCAAAGTTAAATACAATTTAAATGGAAGCAGACTATCATAAATATATATTTTAGCTATTAAAATATGAGTATACATAAAGTTTGAATCAAAACTAAAAAAGCACCCATTTTAAGTGATTTGATCTGAAAACTAAATATTCAACTTTAAATTATTAAGCATTGTGTGTCAGTCATGACCATTATCTTAAAGTAACGTTAGAGAATAAAAAGCTTAATCCTGATGTATGGGATTTTGAATTTGTTAAAATGCTTTTTATCTAAAGGTAAACATTTCAATTTCATAGTGACACTACAATGGAATTTTTAGAAATAAGGAACATACATCGCTATTAAATGAGTGCAAAGAACAACATTTTGGAAAATGTCCCCAAAATTTATTTAATCATTCATGACTTTATTTTTATATGAATATGTGGAAAAGACAATATACACAGGGCAAAATAAGGCTGTCTTAAACGCCTTTAATTATCTGGAGAATTCTACTTAAAAATGAAAGAGATGAAACTCATCTATACCAAAATACCAGTATTATAAAGAATAGATAAATACATAAAAGTTTAGTAGATGTATCTCTCAAAATGCCACAAACAATTCTATAATTACAAATAAAAGTTGAAACAATCACATAACATGAAGCACAAAGTACTATTGTCAGAAAACATTTTAAACTAAAATTAACAGTTCTCTAAAGCCACTCTAAATACTGTGCGTGCTCTGATAAATTATAAAAGCATTTTAAAAAATGTACCAATGTGACCCTCTAAACCTAAGAGAGAAAAATACAGTAGGATTTACGCACAAAGGAATTTTATTAGCCCCTGTAATTGAACTATATACCTTAGTTACATTTTATTTTCTTAAGTAATATTTACAGAAAGACTAAAGCTTAAAGACAAAGTTAAGCATACATAACAATGTAGAGCATAATTGTTTCGGAATTTAGGATAAAAGAAAAGTGTACTCGTGCTATATTATTTAGAAATTTTTCTTCTTTCTCTCCGGAACAACGCTCCCATCGATGTATAAAAACCTGTTTATTTCGGCTCTTTTCTTAGCTATTGGTTTTTAGTTATTTTAAATCAATTCCAGAATAATTTCCCTTTGTATAAACATCCGGTTTTTCGGTGTTTGAAAGAGGTTTGGCAGAGAACGAAGTGTTTGAAGCGGTTGTTACGATCGTCCACTTTATTTTTGTTTACAAACATGAAATCTTGACCTGACCCATCTGGTGATTGATCTAATTAAGGTTCAAAATATTACCCTCATGATGATTCAGACAGTGATTTTATTATTTCAAATGCAGAAGCTGATTCCTTTTAAATAGTATGATTATAATCCTAGAACTAGTATTAGTAGTACTAGTGACGAAATAATGAAATTGGTAATTCATCAGCTGATGAACAACCAGCCCTGTCCCCAGCTAAAGTGCACATCATTATGAATTGTTTTTAGGCTTACCATAGCTAAAAACAGATGAAAAGATATGAAAAATGTATGGAAAATGTTCCATTTACCATTATAAATGTTAGTACATACAAGAATACAGTGCAAATATTTTATAATAGCAACAAATTGTATCCAATGGAAATAGTTAATTTTGTTTTGCAAATTTTTTATGTGACGGTGACAATGGATAATGTGCTCTGAGGTTTAATTCCTTAAGTTTTTTAGTTGATCTTTATTATGTGTGATGCACATATGGATATAGTTCAGAAAAAAATAATTTTTTGTTACACTTTGGATTATATATTTCTCGTGTGACTTGGAATGAGCGTTTCGTGAACAGTTAAGTTTTTTATTTTTTATTTTTCTGAAATGATAATCACATTTATATATTAAAATGTAAACCAAAGTCTGGTTTGCTTGTAAAGGGCATACATTCTCCTTTAATTCTATACCAAGCTAAGCACTTTCTGATAAAAAAACCAAAAAAGTTATGAAGGTTTCGAGACAATATAGTGGTGCGTTACAAAAACGCAAAATAGATAATTCCGTCAGAACGCAGAAAATAATTCCGGAGAGAAAGAGTTAAACTTTAAAATTGTTTTTAAAAAACTATCGGATTGGAGAGCACTATAACATACAAAATGGTTACGCATAGATAAGCTATACAGAGAGTAACAGGTTAAACTGGTAATGAATTGTTTTCATATCCATTTCATATAATGAGAAACTACATTGCCTCTACCGAGGTAAGATGTCATCTACTGGTACACAAAAGAACTGATAGAGCTGTCAAATTTGGTTTGGATAAAATACTATAAGATTTGATTTGTGTAAAATAATAAAGTACATAACATCAAAGAGAACTATTTTTTTCAATCAGTAACAAAATAGGTAGATGAAAGTGAGAATTGTAGATAAAAATTGTTGGTTGGGTACCAGAATAATATGCTACCTGTTAATGTGACAATATAGCTATATAAGCACTTGAAAGATTCTAAGCAGTAGTTATTTAAAGCATTAATTTATGCAGGTTAAATAGCTCCCAAGAATGTATAGGTAGTAGATATTTATATAGACAAATATTTACATACAAATCATGTGCTAACTGGGTTTTCTTTACTTTACAGGACATTGGCTAGGATAGAAAGAGGGAAACAAAAGATTGACTATACAGTGGGGCAAAACATAAGATAGGACAAAACATGATTACTAAACATAACCTTTTTTCTCAAATCCCAACACATATAAAATAGCAGCAAGATGCATCACACAGGTGAGATAATTTTGTTGTATAAAACCAAGGGTTCAACACTGCCAAACTGTGTCTTCAGTGTCAGCAATCCCACAAAAAAGCATTCTATTTAAGGAATAAAGTGGCCAAACAAATCAGTTTTTACTACTGATTTTTTTTTCTTTCTTTTTTAAAAAATGGTACTTACTGTTGAAGTCCCCTGAGTTAGGCCCTGGTTGTACTACCATTTGGTCAGTGCGTCTTGGCACGGCAGTAACAGGTGCCCGAGCTGTGGAACTGTGCATTTTACGCTCTCGCTCTAATTCTTCTGTGCCTCTTCCTCCCTACAGTATGTATTAACATTATTGATGTTATCTTTTTAAGATAAAAATGCATACAAACATGACAAAACATTAAGAGCAATTCAATTTAAGATTAAAAACTAAAACTAAGTTTTACTTTAGTTTGCTACCAGAAAAGGGTAAAGACCTCTTTTAGTTGATGAGAACATATCTGAATGAGTTTGTCTTTAATTTAAAATATTTAAACAGTGTGATTCGGCTATAGTGACAGTAAAAATTAAATGAAAAGAAAATTTCTTACTTAGGCTCTTCCATAATAACACTTCTAATATTTTTATATTTTTAGTTTATTTTTACTCAGTTGATCAGGCAAATAAAAGACCAAATGCAAAAATATACGAACTGAAAGAATACTTACAAACTTGAGCATATTCCAGTCAAAAACATAATCATATGTGAAACCTTGCCGGTGGAATAAATTTCTGAATAGTTGTCGAAGGTAGGAATAGTCAGGTTTATCATCAAACCTTAATGATCGACAAAAATTAAGGTAAGTGGCAAATTCAGCTGAGGAGAAATAAGCATCAAAATTTATGATGGCAGGTTAAATAATGAAGACAACACACTTAGATAAAAAAAAAAATTAGTGCATCTACAACAAAATATATTTTTAATAATTTATAATTAACATAAAAAAAAAATAATGAAAGTATGAATTAAGAAATTAAAAATAGGGAAAAACTCACATGGAAAAGTTTTACACAATTCCTCAATAGGTGTTGACATTTTCTTCTCACTAATACGTTCATATTTCTGACGTTTAGTTGCTGCCTTTAGGCCCTGCCATGGTAAACTTCCTCTCAAAAAGTACATGAACACATAGCCTAAAGATTCCATATCATCCCTCCGACTTTGCTCTAAAAGAGAAAAAATAAATAAATGCGAATTATCTAAGAAAGTTTATGAGCGCACTTTTAAAGAAAAGGAAATTTTTGTTTATTTATCCTAATAACCATAGTTTGATTAAGAAGAAATTCAAAGTACTTACCAATCCCTAAGTGAGTATTGATGCTGGCATATCTGGCAGTTCCTGTTAAATTTTTGTTCTCTCTGTAGGGTATATGTTGATGTGTCCTTGCATCACGATACTTTTTGGCCAAGCCAAAGTCTATAATGTACACTAGATTGCCTTTCTTTCCAAGGCCCATGAGGAAATTATCAGGTTTGACATCACGGTGGATAAAATTTTTTGAATGGATATATTCTATTCTGCTGATCTGTAATAAAAATGAGATATTGTTAGTGCTTTTTTACATTTTAAAAGGATTTTATGTATTTGAGTGACATTGTTTCTTCTATCACAGGAATATCTCAAAACCCAAAAACAGTACAGACTTGAATATGGGCATATAAATAATTTATAACAAACTTGTGAACTATGGATTTTTACCATTTTCTGTTTATACATTTTGAAAGTTTATTAAAAATAATTTTTGGGGCCCATTAAAAATCACCTCCAATTTGAAAATAAACATTTTTGAACATAAACGAAAAGAAGCATTTAAATATAATTATTATTTTGAAAATGTAGCCCTTTATAATGTTTATTTAGCTTAGAGGCCAACAAAAAGTGTGAGTTAGCAACATAAGAGTTTATCCCTGGGCTGCTTTTATTAATATTTCTTAAAATCTTTAAAAATATTTGTGTGCAGGGGATGGAATTTATAGTTTTACCCCCAGACAGCACATATGATGCCACCATAAGTATTGTAATATCTCAAAGCAAAAATATGTTACAAACTGGTAATTGGTATATAGATAGCTTTAAAAATAATGAAATAATATATTTAACCTTCTAAGAAACACATTTCAAGCAGAGAAAAGAGGAAAGAAAATGTGTACATTTTCAGGTGGATAACTAAAAATCTGTAAATCTGATATGACTGTTGTCAAAAAGAAGTGTGATATTTTCTTTTAAATAAACTTATTTTATTTAAGAAAAAACAGTGCAAGTATGTACATTTACTTAAGTATACCGGTACCCATACCTCCAAAAAGTTGGAAAGGGTAAAATATAGGATGTGTTTTTTCTTTGCAACTAAGGACATCAAGCTTTTACTAACTTTCAAAAGATACAGTTCAAGGGCGAGGATTAAGGACAGGCACATACTTATGAGGATAAACAATATGTTTATATTAAAATATAATCTAAATATTTCAAGACATACATTTCAAAGAGAATGGGAACATATTTCTATGGCTAAAAATATCTCAAAACCCAATCATTTTAAGTATGTGAAAATTTAAGCTACAAAATCTTGCCATAATTTTGTTTTCATTTACAATTCAGGGGTGTCAACAAAGCTGGGTTAAGATTTTCTTTCAAAAAATTAAAATCTATTTTTGCTTCCCTTTTGCTAAAAATAAAGTTCTTGGAAAAGTTGGTATCAATTTTTAAAAGATTAATAATATTTCTTTAATAAAAAGGTTGTTACAGACATGAAAATTGGTTAAGAGATTTTTCTTTAGATACAAGACTTCTGTGTTTTACAATTTTCCGATAATATAATGGTGAAAGGTGGCAAAAGATTGGTTAAATTTTTAAAGAAAATACCAGTTTATCAATTTTCGTTATTGAAGATGTTTTAAAAGTATTTAGATTTTTGGGGTAAATTTAAGGACATGTTTTTATAATTTTGAGAACAAATTTGTCTTGTTTATTTGCAGTAGAGTAGAATTATATTATATAATAGATAAATATTTCTCAAAACTGAATGTTAGACAAGATTGACATCAATACATATATAATTCCTTTAAAAAATAAGGAAAGTCTGATGCACTATTTACAAAATTTATAAATAGGTGTGGAATATTGTTGGTTCTTTTATTTATTTTTGAGAATACAAAACATCAAAACCCTATTCAGTTATATAAGAAAAAAAAAAAAATCAGACTTCCTAATAGCAAGTATCTCAAAATGCATTCCATTATTATCCCAGTAACATTGGGTCATATCTTCTAGTTATTCAATATTTAGACTAGCATAATAATAAAAAAAACTTTCAAAATGTAGTTACCAGCTGATCTGCTAAAAGCAAGACTGTTTTAAGGCTAAATTTCCGTGAACAGAAGTTGAACAGATCCTCAAGGCTAGGGCCAAGAAGCTCCATGACCATAACATTGTAGTCACCCTCTGCTCCGCACCATTTGATTGTTGGAATACCCACTGATAATGAAAAAACAAAATTTCATCAGGTTTGGGAAAAATTAATGAATAATGGCAAGAACAAATACGGATACAACCTGAAATTGCTTCATTTTTTTCCTAGCCATTATGGCAGAATATTGCAGCTTGGTTTCAGAATTACTAAGTGTCATAACCACTCAAAATTGTGCATGTTAATGTTTGCTTGAGCCAGTTTAAATTATTTTGATCACTGGTAACATAATGACAATTTGATATTAGGTGATCGGCCGAATATTTTTCATCCAGTGTGTACTTAAATCCTACATCACCTATTGCTTCAAGGAGGTAAAACATTTAATCAAGGCAACTTCTATCACTTAGTATACTTTGGTTTAAAAATTCTCCTTGTACTTCCTGCATATTTTCCATCCATGCCTGTAGCGCTATATATTTTTGAACTCCATAAATTTAAAAAAATCGTTGATATTTAAATTAAAATATCCGTCAACGAAAAACCCAAATTTAGATTGATATTATAATTGCATAGAATTAACTTGAATTAATACATAGTTACCACTCAAAAACTAAATACCTTTTTTAAAACAAAAAATTCTGACCATTGTAATGCCATGGTTTTGTTGATAATATATAAACAAGAAGATTAATTAAATAATGTTTTTAAGTAAACACAATATTGAAATACAACACAGACACACACAAAATTCAGCAATAAAAGTGATTATATGTTAATATTTATTAAATTTCCTAGCAATTGCAATTTTACAATTTACTCAGACTTGAAAAGTTGTTTACTTTTAAAGTGCAAGGAAAACATTTGCTATTTGTTCTCCAGGAGGTAGAACACACACGTTGCTACCACAAGTGGAAAACATCTTTTCATATATAGACTCAATGATTTCTTCTTGTGATGAAAATGAATAGTTTGAGTAAACACACTTTAGTGTTTATAACATCTCTGCAATGAGGGTTTCATATGAGGACACACAAATTGGGAGCTTGACTGAGAAGGTGTAAAAGTGGACACCTAAGGTAGGTGATAAAGCTGAAGTTGAAATAGATGAATTCTCAACAGTTGAATGTTTATTTAAGATTTTCCCCTCCAAATGGCATAAAAATATACTTGATATCAATAAATCCATTGTAGTGCAACAGCAATGACTTGTGCAACCATGATTGCTGTCCACCCATCATTCTTTAAAGGACCTATTAGACATTATTCTTGAGCATAAGTTCTACAGCTCCTTTTGCCTCACACATCACTCTGAGGACTCTGGTCAATAGAGGTTTTGCGCTCAGCTTGTCTTTTTAAGAAACCATGAGCCTTGGGTCCTGCCAGGACATATTTCTCACTAGTAGGTAAATGATAGATTTTTACATTATCTGTGGCAATTAAAAAAGCCTTGCCATTCTGATCTAAAATTGAATTTTTGTGTACCTGACAGGTCTTTGTTCAGCAAAACCCTGGAGGCAAAAAATCCATCATTTATTTAACTGGTATCCATGTAATTATTTTCCTCTAAGCTTGAAATAGCTTTTACAGTTTTGGAATCCGATATTAACTCTGTTATGATAAACCTTGACATACGAGACTGAACCAAGCATCCCTGGTCTGTTACCAAAAAATCACAGGATAGGGGTTGTCTGTTTAGTATAACTTAAGAAATGGTTGTAATACTAGAGCAACCACTTGAAGAAGAGCAGCTTTTGCCTTTAAGAGATGATCTTCTTAGGTGCAGCAGCAGACATCCTTAAAGGATACTTCATGACCAGGAAAATAAGTAAAGGAAATTCCTACTATTTCCAGACTACCTAGGGAACCCTGTTAATAATTAGCTAAAAGATTGCCATTTGTTCCAAACCATACACTTAAGTTATTAAATAGCTCTAATAAATAAGCTCTAATAAATAAGCTATTATTATATGGATCTGACAAAAAGTTTGTTTACCCCCTCCTTGCATCATCCTATAAATTTTGCTTTCGATGTGAAGCTGTGGGTGCTTAGTCTTAACACACTCCAACTTAATGGCCACCTCTTCTCCATTTGATATATCTGTGCCTAAAAGATATTTTCAAACAAAGTTTTCAAATAGATCAATATATGAAGATAAAGACAGCATAAACAAAGCTTTATTTCTTTATAATTAACAATACTCTATGAAATCAAATAAATAAAAAAAATTGTGAACAATGTTTCTAAAGCAGTCCAAAAATATTGAAAATTTAACCTACTCAACCTACTGAATGAAGGAGTCTTAAATAGCTTAGAGTACTGACTGGAAGCAAAATTAGCTTTTTGTACAATGAGCCGTTCAGGGCAACACATATTAAAAGCCATTAGGCCTATTTATTTAATGCCCCCCCAAGGGAAAAAGTTGACAAGGAAGACCCCGAAATAAGAATAGAGAGACATTTTAAAAAGACCTTGCACTTGCACATCTGAGAATCAATCTATGCATTACACAGTGCATGATGAGAAACTAAGACAGACAGTAACAAAATTATTAGTTAAGCCTATTCCATTCAATTTCCAGCCTACATCTGACAAAATTAAACTAATGCTAAAAATGATGGTGACTACAAAACAACAATTTAGTCATTGCAATAGATCAACTATGAAGAAAAATAATATAGTTTTTCATTCCCCTTTGCACTTTGATAGTTTGAATTGCCTTCAATTTCACCCATGTCAAGGTATATAAGAAATAATTTAAACAATTTGGGGGGGGGGAAGGTGGGGCTGTGTGTACAAATTGAAGAGAGATTGTAATATCATTTGTAATATCTTGCCAAAGTTACAGAAAATTCTCAGCATAAGTTGAGTATGAGAAGGCCTATACTCCTACACTAACATAGTATAGAATAGATGTATTGCAAAAATAGCTATCATGAAGTTCCTTAACAGCTATTTTAGCCAAAGGCCAAATCTATTAATCTCCAATAAGAAATGATGAATTCAGAAATTCCAAGCCCAAGCAATGCACAGGATTTTTTTTATTACATATAATCTTACAAAGGCCAGGACCTGCTAACAAATTATAAATAATACTTGTGCCACATCAATCCAATAATTTTTTGTGAATTGGGCCTATTCATTGTTATTGAATTGTTACTACTATTTTATGCTACAATATGTTAGGCTACTGATGACATAGGTGAATGAGTCAACAAAATAAAGGTGTGTTTGAGTAAACATTTGAATCATCACAATTATATCATCAACAGTAATCAAAATACCCAAAGCCAAAACTATCAAAAAGGTAAGTGATACACTTACCCTTAGTATATAAATATAGTATATTATAGGATAGCCTTGGTTACCAAATTTATGCCAGTGATTGGGTTCAGTCAGTGATGTCAGGCACACACAAAAAAAAATCACACAAAAATAAAAAACATGAATTTGACGATAACAAGTAATAGATAGACTAGTAATAGTTGTCATATAATGAAATATCCCAACAGATAAAAAGTGAGAAACAAGGATGGTCTTGCCAAATGAATAAATCTCATAAAGCCTGTGAACACAGTTTCCAAGTTACACAACACATCTTACGGTTTGCTTATACTTATTGTCATCCTACATCAAAATAGTGTAACACAGCAAAATGAAAAACAGGTCAAGTTTATTAATTTAACTAGGGCCTAAAGAAACGTTTATAAATATACATACCTAGATAAATATCACCAAATGAACCACTCCCTATCTTTCTGCCCAGTCTGTACTTGTTTCCGACTCTCAACTCCATCTTCCTGATATTATATGTAAAACAAGTTATTTCCTCATTCTTTGTCGAATCGAACGACTCAACGGAACACAAACATTTAACAAGTTCTTTGTAACTGCTGATAGGAATAGCTAGATTTTCAAAACGCTTACCCTCTAATTTATTCCCCTTCCAATAACCCCCTCCTTGGGTCGGAAGATGAACAATATATTTTAAAATATCATCAATTGTGTAGAATGTCAAACGAAAAGGACGGATGTCGGTGATTAAATCAGCTGAATTTTCCTACTTCGGACGCCATTATTTACTTTGGTTGCTCGAGACGATATCTACGCAGGCGCTAACTTAAGTTCCGGTTATTCGTGAACTATCCTTCCACCCCCATGAATATTTATCAATAAACTCGCCAATGGAAGCAGAAAGGAGAAAATCTTTTTTTTTTCCAATCATTTTTTGATGGACCTACGACGGGTCACCTACGTCAGCCTATGAACTATATGCTTTTATTTACAACTGACAGGATCACATCTGTAGTTTTAGTTGTGAAAATCCTCAGTGATGGCAAATTTTAATGAGAAAGTCACTAGTATTCAAAAATATATTAGAAAATTCTAAGGGTAACTTAAAATTTAAAGGTCCGATGATTCATAAAATGCCCTTTTCAAATTGTAACTAAAATGTATAAATGTATGACGACACTAAAACGTCTAATTTGTGTACCAAATGCCAGCGTTCTGTAATGTATGAAAGTTACTTAATACAAAGCCACTCAAAGCATATTTACTGCCCCAATTAGCTGACAGTACTTTTTACTTTTTATGATATTAATTCCAGGTGTCATCATAAGACAACAGTCTCTTAAAATCCTCCCTTTCATAGTGACTTAGGCAAAGTTTACTGCGTGTGTTTTTTTCCCTTACTTTTTCTTTTTGTATGGAAATGTCCATTTTATTACATAGGCCTATTTGCAAGTACGTTCAATATCAAATCAAGCCCCACTCCCCTAAAATTGGATCTCTTGTCACTGGGCCACTGGGCATTTGGCTTTATGTAAATTCTTTTTCAAATGATTGTATTTTTGTCAAAAAATCTCTGAACAACTAAGTAATGTGAAATTTATTAGTCATGAGAAGATAGCGACTTAAAATTCTAGCTAAATACTTCTATCTCCTCATTGGAAGAGATTTGAAGAAGAAAAAAAAAAGGGGGGGGGGTTGGGGGGGGGGCATAGATTGTAGGGGAACAAACCTCGTATTTAAAGCTGCCTCAAATTTACACTTGGCCGTGGATTTATTCATTAGTAAACGTTGCGGTATACAAGCTAAAACCTTCTTTATCTGCACAAATAGATTTTTTAAACTTAAATCTGTAAATAAATATGAAATGAAGAATGCGTTTAATGCATTGAAACCTCTTCCAATATGAGTTGGGGGTGAGGGATAAAATCTACCCTTCTGGGCTGTATTTGAATATCGTCAGGTAACAAAATTCGGTACTCCCAATATATTTGATGCCATTCACATTAGGACTAAATATTTATGCAACATCCCGACTGTAGGCTGAACCCCCAGTTTAAACTTAGGCCTACAGTATGCACACACACAAAAAAAAAAAACAACAAACAAACAAAAGTGCCTCCATTACTCGGAACAATATGGGATTAAATTACATTTCCATCACTTTAAATGCCTCTTTTAAAATAATTTGAATTAAGTTCTTGCTAAGTTTCAAACATTAGCAACATGTTTTCAATTTCTGTCTCTTCACACATGCTATCTACTTAAATTATGACAGGTTGTTAATCGAATAATATCATCATGCTTTAAAAATATACTCTCTGGTAAAATTCTGCGACGTTCATATAAAATTTCTAAAAAATGAGTATAGACCTGTTCTGCAAACCCGTAGGCAGTAGGCCTACTTTGTCTCTCTTGTTGTTGTTGCATCTGGTGTGAGATGAAAATATATGGGAAAGATAATCATTGCACCCGCCTTTTGACTGCCAGTTTTTGTATGGATATTTTTTTTTTAAATGTATTATTAATGTAGAAGTTTAATCATAGAGTAATTTTTTTTTTTAAACTTACTATTTGGTAACAACTTAACATATAGTATTTGTTAGATGTAACAAGGTCAAGTGACACCTAAATTCGGCTGCTCTCCGAATAATTGCAGAATGATTCAAAAATAAATTGAATTATGGGCCCTGCATTTGAATTTATAAAAAAAAATCCAAAACATTTCTGGGATAGGGCTCAATGAGCCCCTCCCCCGGCCCCCACGCTTTCGCTCAGGCGCCCTCGATTTCTGCTTCCGTCAATAACACAGCACTTCCGCCTCCACGATGTGTCCACAACATAGCAGAAGGTTAACACTTAAGCTTTTAACGCACCTCTGTGTCTTTGTTGTTTCTTGTTTTGCCTTGTCTGCCGAACAAGGCTTTCAGCCGAAACGATGTCTTTTTAGTGTCCCGTTCTTTCACTTCAAGCTTCAACACTGTCGAGTATGAGCGTTCATTAGGAATTGTTGCGACTCAATATTATGTTCATTAGTTGTTGAACGCTTTTCCCGCGCTTGACTATTATAGTTAGTAAACGCTCTTCCCGCCATTGTATTTATGACGTATTTTTATGCTGAGTCGTGACGTATTGTCTATGCAGTGTTGTGACGTATGTTTTAGTCGTGCGGCAGTCTTGAGTGGAACCTTGGAGTGATAGGATGTTTATTATATTTACTTAGATATTAAAGTTATAGTTATTATGAAAAGGAGTTGAGTTTGTTAATTGATAGTGAGAATAGTACGACGCTTCAACGTATGAAAGAACTGACGAATGTAATCAATCCAAGAAGACGTGTAGGAGTTGACAAACACACCGTGTTCAACTCTTTCCTTCACACAGGGTAATAAGGGGAGAGACTGCAATCAGGCTAGCACAATGGGTTCCTTCACACAGCTCGAACAAATACCTCCATTTATTACCCGTTCAGCTGTCACTCTACATACGCAATATCTTTTCCACTGCTGTATCCAATAACTCTTTAGCACAGTGGTCGGCAAACCGCATACGGTTCTTTGGCGACCTGAGTGCGGCTCGGTCAGTCGGCCACAAATCCGGCTTGACTCCGAAAAACATAATTCTTGACAGGTTCTTGAAAAGAAATTTGGCTCTCATAAAATGTTTAATCGCCCTGCTGCTGATTTTTGGCTCTTTTGACCAATGAGTTTTCCGACCACTGCGTTAGTCATATTGAAAATTACGGATAATGAACTGCAGTCAGCGGTCCGAGCCGATGCTAACTTATGCCCCACCCCAACCCCAGAGCTCCAATTAGATGAATTTCACTTCCTTTTACAGAAGAGAAATGCCACGAAGCGGCTCACCCAGGATGCCTCGCCCTAATAGGGAACCACCCGGTCAACCCCAGGAACACCAAAGGGGTGACTTCCTTTAATTTGACTTACCTTGGGAAGGGGTGGATTCCCTGCTGCGGATTACTATGACCTCCCCCGCTACACCTGGGGGCAAAACGTAATCCTATGTTATGGCCGACCGAGATAGGGGGATCTTCACTGCCACCTTCTTGCGAAGGTATCATCGGCGCAGTCGACCACAAAGATAGTAGTATTTAGTTCTGAAGTGGTACTGGGAACACTCCTGGCACCTACGTTGAACACCACGTCACACATGTTATCTTGTTACGGAGACGAAGCGTCTGCCAATGAGACATGCTCTCAAAAGGGCGGCACTTTTTGTAATCTAGAATAATTTACCAGGAACTGTAACCATGTGCCCTTAAACTTTAGCTCGTAACACGTGACCCTAAACCCGAGCTCAGAACAGGTGCCCTTAAACCCTAGCTCCTAACACGTGCCCCTAAACCATAGCTCCTAACACGTGCCCCTAAACTATAGCTCCTAACACGTGCCCCTAAACTATAGCTCCTAACACGTGCCCCTAAACTATAGCTCCTAACACGTGCCCCTAAACTATAACTCCTAACACGTGCCCCTAAACCCTAGCTCCTAACACGTGCCCTTAAAAGATCCTAACACGCGCCCTTAAACCCTTGCCCCTAACACGTGCCCCTAAACCATAGCTCCTAACACGTGCCCCTAAACTCTAGCTCCTAACACGTGCCCCTAAACTCTAGCTCCTAACACGTGCCCCTAAACTATAACTCCTAACACGTGCCCCTAAACTATAACTCCTAACACGTGCCCCTAAACCCTAGCTCCTAACACGTGCCCTTAAAAGATCCTAACACGCGCCCTTAAACCCTTGCCCCTAACACGTGCCCCTAAACTATAGCTCCTAACACGTGCCCCTAAACTATAGCTCCTAACACGTGCCCCTAAACTATAACTCCTAACACGTGCCCCTAAACTATAGCTCCTAACACAATAGCTCCTAACACGTGCCCCTAACCTATAGCTCCTAACACGTGCCCCTAAACTATAGCTCCTAACACGTGCCCCTAAACTATAGCTCCTAACACGTGCCCCTAAACTATAGCTCCTAACACGTGCCCCTAAACCATAACTCCTAACACGTGCCCCTAAACCCTAGCCCCTTACACGTGCCCCTAAACCCTAGCTCCTTACATGTGCCCCTAAACCCTAGCTCCTAACACGTGCCCCTAAACCCTAGCTCCTAACACGTGCCCCTAAGTTGAGCAGCTGTGTACCCCTGCAAGTTTCCTAGGTCCCTTTCAACATCAACGATTCATTCCGCCCGAGTGGCAGGTTGCCTTCATGGACAGACTGCTCTGGGAACACTATTAAAAAGAAAGATTCATTTTGTTGGCACAATTAATAAGTTCACGGAAAGGAACTCTGAATGATTCACATCCATGCACATCGCCGTTGAATAACCGGATATTCCCGCCTTTCCCGGTCGTATTAATTTGAGTGACTGCTTCAGTCACGCAGTGTTTACCAGAGGACTTCATTCGTTAGATAATTTCACGGGCATTGAGTGACTGCTTCAGACATGCAGTGTTTACCCGAGGACTTCATTCGTTAGATAATTTCACGGGCATTGAGTGACTGCTTCAGTCACGCAGTGTTTACCCGAGGACTTCATTCGTTAGATAATTTCACGGGCATTGAGTGACTGCTTCAGACATGCAGTGTTTACCCGAGGACTCCATTCGTTAGATAATTTCACGGGCATTTGTGCTGTTCGTTTTATTCACTTCTTTGTAATAAATTGTGCTGCCTGTATGATACTAAGGCTGATTCTTAGCTGTCATCCCATGGGATCATAATTAATCCCTATATAGCGCCGCCCTCCCCCATGTTACCAAAAAGAAAAAAAATAGTATTATTGAGGACAGTAGTTAGCATAATTCTGTAACGAAGAATTTTTTTATTATCATTGTTCTCCCTTTACCTATAGCTAGTTCTTTCGTATTGAGCAACTAACACCAAGTAAAATTATGGTCATGCTAGATACACCTTAAGCAAGACGTGGACAAGATGGAACGAATTCAACGAAACGCGGTGCGTTTTAATCGCTCGCGACTACAAATCCACCACGCCTGGATTCGCCACAGGCCTCTTAAAAAGATTTGACATCCCTCCCCTTAAAGACAGACGAGAGGGACTCCGCCTGACATTCTTATATAAAGTGATCATGGGACTGGTGCCGGCCATCCCAGCAGGCACGTACCTAACCCCACAGAAGCCGGGTAGACTGATCAGAGCAAAACGCTCACTGAACACTGATTTCACCACTGACATTCCCATAAACAATTACACCTGGAACAATAGCAAATGCTTCAAAGTGCCTCAGTGCAACACAGTGCAGTATCAACAATCGTTCTTCTCACGAACAATAATAGCATGGAACCACCTGAACGATGCAACTGTGAACTCGACATCAGTTGAAAGCTTCAAGGCTGCCCTGACATCAGCTAGGAGCTATTAGAATAGCAACATCATACCCCCAACCGTTGCAAAAATGCCAGTACATGGATGCAGCAACGAAACATTACCAGAACCAGAACCTCGTCAAACATTGGCGACGGCAATGCGTGAACTTCCCATCTGTCTACTAAAGCCACTTGACAAAACATGAACTCAAGTAACGCACATTTAAAAATCCCAGGTTTTGCTAACACCCCCCCCCCCCCCAACCCCCTTTATACGTCACTGCACACATTTTATTTCACGCCTATGAGCTTTGTTAAATACTCTGATGCCCCAACCACTTTTCAATCGAATATTTTTTTACACCATACTTCAATAGAGACGATTCCATTTTCCGAAAAGAAAATATTACCCATGCAACGAACGCATTTGCTTGTTATTAATATATATATATATATAAACCATATGCCAATAGAATCATTGCTGATGAACAGGCGGGCTTCAGACAAGGACGGGGCACTACTGAGCAGATTCTAAACCTCCGAATACTATGCGAGAAATATGCTCAGCACCAACAAAACCTATACCACGTCTTTGTTGACTTCAAGAAAGCATTTGACAGGGTTTGGCACGATGCTTTATGGGCCACCATGCGGCACTTCAACATCAACACTAACCTAACCAGAATGATATGCAACCTCTATGATAAGGCCACCAGTGCAGTCTTCCCCAAACAACAACATCGCAGAATGGTTCAAGACCACGGTTGGAGTACGACAAGGCTGCCTGATCCCCCCCCCTCCACCCTTTTCAACATCTTCCTAGAGAGAATAATGTCAGATGCTCTGGAAGCGCATGAAGGGACAGTCAACATTGGTGGCAGAACAATCACCAACCTACGCTTTGCGGACGGCAAAGACGTGCTGACTGGGAACGAAGAAGAACTAGCCAACCTGGTAAAGCATCTCGACAAGACCTCGTCGTCCTACGCCATGCTAATCAGCGCCGAAAAGACAAAACTGATGACAAATAACACCACAGGCATCACCACTGAAATTAAGTCGGGGAGCAAAGACTAGAGACTGTAGGCCGCTTCAAATACCTAGGAGCAATAGTCTCAGAAAGAAGGCTCCAAGCCCGAACTGATGTCTAGGATTGCGCAGACTACAACAGCACTAAAGAGGCTCAAGAAAATTATGGCATGACAAAAATATAGCCCCCAGCATCAAAATCAGGCTGATGCACTCATCAGTCCTCTCCATTTTCCTGTATGCCTGCGAATCCTGGACATTAACAGCAGATCTTGAAAGGAAAATAAAGGCGATGGAGATGAGATGCATCAGAAGCTTTTTTGGCATCTGACATAGGGACCATATTTCCAATGATACAGTGAAAGAAAGGGTTCGCCAGGCAATTGGGGAGTACGATGACCTACTGGTGACTGAAAAAACGCAAACTACAATGGTACGGCCACGTAACAAGGAAACAAGGGTTTGCCAAAGAAATATTGCAGGGCACCACAAGAGGAGGGAGAAGAAGAGGAAGACAAAGAAAAAGATGGGAAGATAACATCAAAGAGTGGACAGGACTAACACTGGGGTATGCTGTGCGTAGTGCAGAAGACAGAGACGAATGGAGGAGGATAGTTCACATGTCGTCTGTGGCGCCCCAACGGACCAAGGACTAAGGGACATGATGATGAATATATATATATATATATATATATATATATATATATATATATATAACTGGATACTGACGAAAGATTCCTTCAATATCCAACGTTTAGGTATGCTGTGCGTAGTGCAGAAGACAGAGACGAATGGAGGAGGATAGTTCACATGTCGTCTGTGGCGCCCCAACAGACCAAGGACTAAGGGACATGATGATAAATATATATATATATATATATATATATATATATATATAACTGGATACTGACGAAAGATTCCTTCAATATCCAACGTTTTTGCCATGGAATACCTGGTGACTTGACCTGGATTGAGACCTAGTTCTTCTAGGTTGTGCCTGGATCCGGGAGTTAAGACAGTCACACAAACAAATGGGATGAAACTTGGGATTTAGCCTACGCCCACATTATAAACCGTATACTGAGGCTGGAAATGAATTAGCAATTAAACATAATTGACTACCTTTGTGCATCAGATTATAAACCCTATACTGAGGCTGGAAATGAATTAGCAATTAAACATAATTGACTACCTTTGTGCATCAGTTATATTTAATATTGAGTACCTTGTTGGCTTGTGTGGAATGTGCACATGAAAGTTACAAGGCTGTTTTAAAATTTGTTAATAGATGAGCCCCCTGCATCATTCGTGCGATTACTTTATCTTTCGGTTTACTTAGGGAGTTTAGATTCGGAGCTATACCAGCCAGAATCAAGAGGTCAGCATCACATTTGTGTTCTCCATCTGGATTCTTTTGGTTTAAAATGGTTTACATGTAAATTTGTGAAATATCTTGGTTATAACAACATTGTGAGGTTTAAAACATCAATTAAGCCAGCATTGTTTAGTTTATTAAAAACTAAAAAAAAATCACTAATTCTCATTGTTCAATAAACTTGTACTAGCATGTAAGTGTAAGATAAAGTAACTTCAGCAAATGTCAAGAGTGTGTTTGCATGTTAAATGAAGTGGGAAGCAGTACCAGTCCAGTTGATTTTACTATTTTTGCGGATCTTCTTTTCAATTAGAATTCAAAGTTATCCCGAGCCCTGATTTCACATTTATACCATTTAATATCTAATATTAAATGAAGTTTAAATATTTTTGTGAAATCAAAGCAGAGGAAAGTATTTTGTCAACTGATAAAATCAACGGGTTGATAGTAGTACACACCTAATTCCAAATTTTATTTAATTCTTTACAAGGTTAATTTAAATTTGGATTTTCATTAAAAATAAATTAACAATTCTAATTTCTAACGAAGACATTTTGTAAAAATATCAGAAATTATGCTTTGAATGAAGGAACCCAACCAGATATTCAATGAGTAAAGAGTCAGAGAAGTTTAAGCACAGTGTTTCAACTTAACTTCTACAGTTATCCACTTTGATTCAGCAGGCTGTTATAAAGCTCATGAGATCACAGTCTCAAAATATGAAATGAGTTGTTAACTTTTTCAACTGAACAAGGCAACCAACAAGTAAACTTTCATAGTTATCAAAAATTTGCTTTAATTTCAGATTCAAATTTAACATCCAAAATCTGAGTTTAATTCAGCAACAAACAAATCAGTGGTTTCACTATAATCAAAAACATTACCAAAACAAGTTCAGATGGAATTATTTTTGACGTGAGACACTAATCCCATCCTCATGCATGGGTCTTAGGGCGGTGAGATGGAGCTCCAAATGCCTAATTAAACAACCCGCCCCCCACCCAGTTATTCCAGGGGTACAAAAATGGGATCTCACATCATCTAGAAAAATTCCTAGAGTGGTTGCTGATTCATACATAAATCAACTGTAGTTATTAAATGTTTCTTGTCAAGTCATGTGCCAAGTCCTCTTTCTCTTCTAATTTTCGTGTTTTTTTGCCTTCGTATGCGTTCACAAAGGAAGGCATTCAGTCTAAACGTCAGTTCTATTGTTTTGTTTTGCTATTCAACCAACAGGCCTTGCTCTGAATATTTCTTTCCCTCTGTTTCCCAATAAACATTTCTTATACCTCCAAATTACATTTTTGTGTCAGAATATGACGGCATTTTAGCTTATTGTTACATTTCAAATATGACCTGTGGCAATCATATATACATATATAATATAATAACATGACTAAGCTATCCCTTTTAAAACATTAATTGCGCACAACAATCTTACTATTTGATTCAGTCACTACTGTGAATGTGTCTGCACTGCCCTGAGTGACAGTCCCAAAATGAAAATGTCAGATCCTGACCAGCTCTATGATTAGCAAATAAATTTCCATACATTTTGAAGCACACATTATCACAAGAACTTATTGTCGTGTCCAAGCAGGTGATTATAGTCTGGCGCCACCATGAGTTTATGCTTCACCGGGCCCAGGACGACCATCTGACCAGGGTTATGATCAGTTCTCACTGACACAAGTTCCTATAGTAAGAATGGGAAGACAAGTTGATAAGCCTTGTTTAAAAAAAAATCAATAAAAAAATTAAGATCATGATAGCCATCTAGAAATCAAATCAATGAATTTTTTAACCCACGAACTGTGGTCGGCCAAAAAAATCAGCCGATATTTTTGTTCTGTACTGTGGTGGCCGGAAAAATCGGCCGATAAAAAAACACGGTCAGATAGCAACTTCCAAGCCAATATTTAACTTGAATTATAGCCACTTCCTTTTATTAATAATTAAATCAGCTTCCGCGTCAAGCTGTTTGTTGATAACTTATCAATAAGTCCCTTTTAATCAGAGTTTTGTATCGCTGTTTTTTAAAGCTAAAATGGCCGGGGCCTTCAGTACGAGAACTAATAGAAATATTTTTGAACACTTTTTAGGAGAGGATTTAAGTGATACTGATGATGATTTTAACATTCCCCATGACGATATCAGTTTGGATTCTTCTTCTAATGAATGTGATACTAGTCCTAGTGATACTGAAGTAGGCCTATTGCAGGACTTCAAGCCAGGCCCAAGGGTTGGGCAAGGACTGACTGAATTTTAGTCACAAGAAGAACAATAAATTTTATAGTTAGGCAACCCAAATCAAATCCACAGTTCCTTTTTACATTTTTTCTTGTCAATTATAACTTTTTTGCCTGAGATTTTGTATGTTGTACTTGGTTTTAGCTGTGGTCCCAATTAGTTATTTTGTTATGTAAAAAATAACCTAAAATTACAAAAATTGCTCCCAGAGGCTTATTTGTATAAGAAATCTTAGCAAACCATACATTTTATGAGAAATAAATCAATTGGCTACAACATTTTTTAAGCATTTTAATGGAATCTATAAAAATTAATGATGTTATGAGCACTTGAAAGCAAGACATTTTGACGATTTTTCTCCCTTGAGTACTTCAAGGTCAAGGTCACTGAACAAACATTTTTTGTACAGGGTGGGCAATATAGCCAAGTTTATCCCCATCCATTTACCTTTCTAAAAATATCTACTTATTGGGGTCTTGTAACAATATTTCTATGTCATTTAATGCTATTTCAAAAAGCACTCAAAAAGCTCTCAAAAGCTCCCACACTACAGCATGATTTTATACCACAGTTTGTGGGGTAATACTAAACTTTCAAAAGTATCTGGTAATTTTTTTTTACTGAGCCCCAGTTTCCTTGCAGATTAAATAATTTCATCAATGGGGCAAGTTTTGTTAGCAGCTCATATTTTCCAACTAAAATGTATGTAGATCTTTTTCTCTCTCTTTCCAGATCTCCCAAGCACCTTTAAACTTATTTTCAACTACAAAAGTAATCATTTTTTATCAAAAACCTGCCTGGTGGAAATTGATAGGAATTCCTGGCAGCACCTCCATTACGTTGTCACCCAGCACCAGCTCAGCTTTTCCTGATTTTCTTATTCTAAGTTTTCCCATGTAACCTTCGCTGCAGTCTTTCAGCTGGCAGGAGTCCAATCTCTTGGCCAACTAAGGATTTTGAAAGAAAGGCATGAATACAAATTCTGCAATTAATTACAAAATCCTTTTAAACAAACCAAAACTTTGATACTGCTTCCTTCATGTTATGTTAACGTTGAATTGTCTTATAAAAATATATGTACTATAAGTGCCTTTTAACAAGAAATTATTTTGAGTTTCTTCTTTCCGACAACCATACATGTGATGGACATGTATTTTCATCTTTGACAAGGAAAGTCATTACAATAAAAGGCTACAATTATAATAAAAAAAAAAAATGCAGGATGAAATTTAGTGTTGCGACAGCAGATGCCAATTTAAGAGCCACTGCCAAAGACTTACAATTAATTTCAAATAGGTAACTTTTTAAGCCATTCAATTTCAAGGAGTATAATTACCCTACCTCATCTTCTTTGTTTACTGTACTATTGCTGGTTGAAGCCTTGGTGCGATCATCTGTGACTGCTGAAGCTGGTAAGCCAGGAAGTGTATCAGGAAATTGAAGAAATAGGAGCTCTCCCCTTTCTGTCAATTAAAATTACACATCCACATTTAACAAGTGCAGAGAGAGAGAGAGAGATAACGGTTGGAATGCGGTAAAGCTCAAGAAAATTAAACAACCTCTTAGTGTTAAGAAGTAGGCTGAAAAGAATTTTTTTTTACTAAATATTCAGTTGATTATTTAAAACACAAATTATATGATTTATTTATTTGTGCTGTTTACGAAGGGAGAAATTGACCTCAAAATTTTCAGAATATGATGAAACTTGATAAAAGACGTTTTTAATTCATTTAATTATTGAAGAGTAAATGTAAATGCAGGTAAAATCTTTTCAATACCTGACTTAGCAGCTTGACTCAGTATGTCATTTATTGAAGTTGCCCGCTCATGAGGACGACTGTGACTGAAGCTCACCCCCAACATCGGTTTGATCTCTACTTTTGTCTCCGGTTCTCCTGTTTCCATTGTTTCTTCTTTAAAGGGATTATACAAATTTGGAAGATGAAATGTTTCCCCTGAAGGCTGATAGTTGGGCCAGGACACACCAGGGCACATTAGAACACACCAGGGCACATTAGGACACACCAGGGCACATTAGGACACACCAGGGCACATTAGGACACACCAGGGCACATTAGGATACACCAGGGCACATTAGAACACACCAGGGCACATTAGGACACACCAGGGCACATTAGGACACACCAGGGCACTGACCCAGCACTGGGTATCAGATTTCAGTCATGCATCAATCACTGTTTTTGTCTCTGTGTGTGTGTACCCGGTATCTGGCTTACCCCCCCACAGCTGGCGGTAAGTGCAATAGCACTACTGGTAACGCAACATTACCCCGCATTCAATGTACAAAATTCAAACTAAACTAGCACTGACCCATTGATAAGCCCACTTTGCTTTTTAAAATGAAGTTTATAACTAAAATTTCTTGACTTATACAGAATGTACAGTAGATAATTTTACCTAACTAGGGAGTATAGTTTGTAAGGATGAGGGATCAGACGCAGATATCAATACAATTATACAGAAGGCAGGACAAGCTTTTGCCTTAATTAAAAATATTTTAAGCTCTAGGCAACTAAGGAGAAAGGCGATAATTAGAATACTTAGTTCTAATGATAAGTATATTCTGCTGCATGGCTCAGAAAGCTGGAGATCAAACAAGAATAATTGGAAAAGACTGCAAATCTTCGTGAATAATTGCCTGCGTAAAATCTTAACATCAAATAACTCCACTAAACCTCAAATACAACAGCGAGGGAAATGACAGCATAAATCCCAGTGGAGCAAGAATACAGAAAAGAAGGTGGAGATGGATAGGTCATACCATAAAGAAACCATGACAAATATAACAAGACAAGCACTGGTATGGAAGCCTTAAGGATCAAGAGGACGAGGAAGACCCCAAAAAACCACCTGGAGGAGATATATCGACAAAGGTGTAACAAAGACTGGAAAGAGTTAGAGAGTATAGCTAGAGACCTGAAGGCTGGGAAAGAAATTGTTATTGGCCTATGCTCAACTGGGAGATGAAAAGTCAAAGAAAAAGAAGAAATGTACTTAACAGTGTTATGAAAATGATTTATTGCATACAACCATTATAATAATAACAACCATCATGCTAACTCCTATACATATTGTATTTACTTCTAGGATTTGGTCAGTATGATTCAAATTTTAATGGCAAGAAAAAATTGCTTTTAAGTTTAGGTGTTGAATGTTCAAAAGATTTTCAGCATTGTTTTAATTTCACCCTTTTAACAGCCCATGATGATTTTGCCCTCGGGATCAAAGCCCTGTTTGTCCCCCCCACCCCCCCCCCCTCCAATTGCACAGCTGGTACCATTACTAATAACTTGAAATTGTTAGACTATATAATTTTTACATGCATGAATAATATGTAGATTCATATCCATTTTACAAGTTTGGTGATTGCATTAAAAACTCAAAATAATTACAAATATTATTAAGGGGAGAAAAAAATGAAAACAGGATTGCACCTTTAAATTCTGACTTCAGGCCTTGACTTGCAACACCTGTGTTGATATTAAGAGGTAACCTTATTGGGGTCATTCGAGGATCTCCAGATCCCATGTCTGAGATGAACTGCAATTTTTTTGCAAAACAATAGATTAATACAGGCTGTCGCTAAAATGTTAGCAGACAGTAGGGTTTCAATCCCCACTCGGCTATTTGCTCATCCTGGGATAATGGGATAAAAGTGACTCTCTTCCCAGGATCGTGGAAAACCACAATACATAATTAATTATGGTATATTTAACATATTTTATGAACTGAATTAACCTTGATCATTGTGGATTTAATAATGAAAATGGATAAATGGCCTTTAGAGCAAGCATCTATGGTAATGTAGCAGCATTTATTCATACTTTCCAAGAAAGAAGAGCCTTGTGACAAGTGATAAAAAAAATAATTATATTTAATATTAAACATTATTTTTTTTTTTACTATTTATGCAGTGCTGAAGAAATGTATGTAAAAAAAATAGTAATTCTGTTTGAGCCTTTATCTCGTCTTATATCCTTCTAATGGAATTAAAAACAAATGCACATCAGATGTAACTATCATGTAACCGAGTGAAGAATTAAAACAAATTAATTCAGATTTTTTGTACCATATTGCCATATACTCAAGTCCTAAATTGTCTTAAGTTTTTAATTTTTTTTTTAAATTTTGAAAATTTAGCATTTCATATTAAACAATGCCTAAATACTTTTATGTCCTGTAACACGTTTTGTTTCAAAAAACTTCCTGTTTCTATCGTGTTATTACAGCTATTAACAAGCTAATTTGAAATCTTCACAGTCTCTGTGTTTTTCTTGCTCAACTGCTGATGAAGGCTTCTAGCTGAAACCTACATTTGATTTTCCAGTTTTTTCCCTTGTAAGCTTTCACATATCTTTTCTACAAAACCTTTCTTTGTGGTAATTTTACTCTGACTTACATTATCCTTCATTAGAGATTCCAGTAGTTTCTTGTCCTCCTCCGTGCCTTTAGAATGTCTCATGGCAGCTTTGATTGCTGTAGAATCAGTCTCACCACTTTTACCTCCTCCTCCACCTCCACCACCACCCCCACCTCCTCCTCCACCATCACCTCCTCTGCTTCGGCTCCAGCCTGTGGATAAATATAGTACATAAACGTCTTAAAACTCATTTTTTGTATGTCTTAAGCAGCTTTCCATCATTAAAATTTGGTCACTCTACAAAAATATATTTGGTTTTTATGAATCATTATACGCTTGATACAGTATTTCATTTTATGAAAATTTGTTAAATTAATATGATAATTATTTGGGAACAAAAATTATAAAAACATTATTATGAAATGTCCTTTATTTGTATATAATATTGTTGGTTAGTACAGAACTTTGCAGAACCTGATGATGATCCACCCATTGGTCCATATGCAAATTCAGATTGAAGTTGAATTGTTCGATCTTCACCGCGACCTCTTCCACGTCCTCTGCCTCTGTCTGATTTTCCTCTACCTCGATTGGTATTACTGTCTTGCTTATCCGCCACTTGAGAGGATGATGATGAAGAAGGCTTTGGACTGCAGAAACGATATGAGGTGATAGGGAAATAACTATAAAAATATGTCTTTAAAAAAGGGAGTGTGGCAAATAAATGATACTATAACATAAATCTGTAACATATTCTAGACACTTTAATCTAATGAAAAAGCCAAGAAAAAAAAGGTTAGAAGTCCTTGTCCCCAGAATATTTTACTGAAGAAACCAATTTCTTTATGATTTATTTCAATAGGAAAAATCATTGCAAACTCACTCATCTTTGCCAATTGATTTTTTAACTGCTGCTAAATTGGGGACAAAAACCTTTCTCTGAATACCTCCAAGAGTCAGATCTCGATGCCCTCTTACAGAAGGCAGCCTGAAAAAAGGAAGAATGATTGATAATGAAAGCTTTATAGCTGACTTGCTATAAATACTGATGTGAATTTTTATTTTCCTTCAGTTCAATTAGCAGTAAAACAATCTCAATTTCTGAGGAAAATTGAGATCTAAACTGCTATGTTTGTTAGGAATGTGACAATACTTTCAATTCTTGCAAACATAAAATAGAAATAAATAACAAACATTAACTTATTTTTAAATAAAATTTTAAATAGGGCCAGATTTCCATGTCCGGAATGTTCATAAAAATAAACAAATTTAATTTAATGGGTTTCATTACTTAAGTAAAGTGATGTGAATTGATTACTATAAACTGCGCACAGGCCTTTTCATGTAAACGAGTTAACACATTATTATTTTTCCCACCCATTCTTAATTGCAAGATTTTTTTTAGCACAGACTGACAGTAAATATTTACTAGACATGGGTTCCCCATCTTAATACTGGTACTAAAATGAAAATGTATAAACATGGAGGCGAGGCACGTTTTGAAACGTGACACTTTTACAGTTTCACTTTAAACACAGGTGTCATTGGTAATAACGTGAGATGAGTAAGTCAAGCTTAATATTTTTCAACCATCATGCTTTAAAACATGTAATAAAATAAATAAAGAATAAAAAAAGCATTCTAATTCTACATCACTGAAGTGAAGAGGAGGAATCAGAGTTTACAAATTGAAATGGGGGCAACACAAATCTAAAGCCAGGTTAACCTTGATCCTCTCCCAATAGGATTTCCAGTTCTGTTGATGAGACCTCGAGGAATATCAGTATTACTTGAAGGTACATCATCTGCCATATTTCAAATCTTATAGTAGCTATAATCAGCGGTCTTGTAAGAAAAGTCTGAAAAAAGGTTAATTTTACAAATTTAAAGACTAAAAATTTGATGTATTGGTACGGTACATAATTAATTTTAAAGAATTTCATTAGGCTTATTTTTTTGTTTTACTTTTAGTAAGGATTGTCCTTTCTGCAATAAATAGTCCTGAAAACTTTTCAACTTCCAATTAGATTACTTACTAATCATAACAAACAAAATTTAAAAAGAATCCCTACCCCTACCATTATCACCATGAACCCTGACTATTACTTCATTAAAAAATGCCCCTTGAATTATCCTAGCCTTCCGGCCTCTCTAAAAATTTTAGCAAAGCTTACTTTTCCCTTAAGATAGCCCGGTACTTATTTGTTATAGTTTTATATTTATATAAAATATATATATATATATATACATTCAACGTATTTATCGGCGTATAACACACACTTTTTCTCCCTGAAAATAGGGGGCAAATGATGTGTGCGTGTTATATGCCGTTATAATGTTAAGGACCCATCGTACATACCGCATAGCGGCGCAAATGGTGCGTGTTATACGCCTGTGCCTGTTATACGCCGATAAATATGGTATATATATTTATTTATTATTTATATATATATATAATATATAAATGGAATATTGTCATAGACAACGGACATCATTTTATCTCATTTTTTAAATTTTTAGTGAAATAATTGTGATATAGTACCGTAACTACTTTGAACTAAAGCAGTGTGAACATTTTATTTGATTACCGGGTAATAAATACCAAGTTATGTTTTATTACTATTCTGTGAAAGGTCTTTCTGTGTTGTGCAGAAGATGTGATTACTAGCACATTATGAGTCGGAATCTTTTTATTTATTGCAAAATATTATAATTTGGGAGGAAACCTCTCAATGAAAATTATAATTTTGTATGCTTTTATTTTATCTGTCTTTTTAAAATATCTATTATATCTAAGATATATCTATTAATACCATCACTTGTTCTCACAACTATACGGATGTAAAGATTCAGTCAAATATGCTGACTGGCGCTTGAGGAAACTGATAATGGAATCCCATTTCTGTCTTTTGACTGGATCTGGGGGAGCTGACTTATGGGTAAATTTTCTATTCACAGATCCTTTCTTAACGTTTGATGCAACAAAGAGGCTGATGTCTGCATTCGAGCTATCACGCATGGACTACTGCAATACTCTCATGGTGGGTCTTCCAGCTACGCTCCTGGATAAAATTAAAAAAGTACAGAATAATGCGGCTCGCATTGTTTTTCACAAACGAAAATTTGACCATGCTAAAACACTTCTGAGAGAGTTGCATTGGCTGCCGGTCCATGGTCGCATAGAGTACAAAATTGCAACTCTGTGCTACCACTGCTTGCATGACCTGGCGCCGTCCTATCTCAAAGCGCTCATGACGCCTTATGTACCCACTAGACAACTCCGCTCATCCGATAGTGGCAAACTCTCGATACCATGTGTTTGCCTTGAGACTTATGGAAGGCGCACGTTCGCATTTGCTGGCCCAACAATTTGGAACACCCTTCCTGTCGCTATCAGAAACAGCCAGACACTGGAGTCTTTCAAAACCGATTTGAAAACATATCTATTTCGCAAACACCTGTGGGAGTGATTTTGTATACCATCTTTTCCAGCTAGCTATTATCTCCTAGTGGCCTGTGTTGTTTATGGTTGAAAGGGATGAAAGACTTAGAATGGGTATTCTCGGATGTATCTTTTGTAATGTTGCGTTTTGTATTTCAATGTGGTAAAATATAGATTTTTTCATTTCTCTTTTAATATGGATGACTTTGTACCGCGCTTCGAGGCTTTGGGGATGAAGCGTGATTTTCAAATAAGCTTTATTATCATTATTATCCTTATCTTTTGTTCTGGTATAAGTGTGTTTGTTTTTCAGGTGTCATTTTCCTAGGCTATTATGGTGGTTTTAGCAAGTCTCTCTGTCTGTTCTGGACACCTGGGTACTTGATGTGCTACAAAACTATTTAATTGCTTAGTGCAGATCTTAAAGCACTGTTGTCAGCATCCAATGTATTCCTTGTCCTTCCCTTGAATTCCATGTCGCATAAGTTAATCAATAACTAGTGAGAATAGAAGCTGTGAAAGAATGCACCTCTGCTTCACACCAAACTAAACTTTGAAAGGTTTATTAAGGTGGCCATTGTGGAGAAATCTGCATGCAGTTATCATAGAGTGATTTGATAATTCTGACCAGTTTTTAAGGAATACCATGATGTTGAAAAATCTTTCAAAGTGACTCTCAATGTAGGCTGAGAAAAGCTTTTTAGACGTGGACAGAGACAAAGAAAGCTGCATCTCTCATTATGAGCTTGCTCTTAGATTTGCTTTGAGACTAAAATGTTATCAGTGCAAGACCTCCTTTTCCTAAAGCCGGCCTGTTCCTGTCCAATATGTACTCCAATGTTGTTATGCATTGTAAATTGTAGAGTACTTTTGCAGAAGACTTTTTTGGTGAGTGACTGGCTGGTGATGTCTCACCATTTGTTGAAATCATAAAGTATGCCTCTTTAGTTAAGGAAGTTTGATGATAGCTCTGGTCTTCCAAGTAGTTTGGATATTTTCTGTGTTCCAAATGTCTTACAGAATGTGTTGCCACTATGCATACCTTTGTCCCTTTAGACTAAATTCTATTTCGAATGTCATTTGTGGTACCGGATTTTAGTTAAACTAAAGAAGTAAGTTGACAAACGCAAAGTCCATTCAATTATCTTTCATTTGATACCAAATGTTGTCTTACAAACCCAACAATAATATTTTAAATATTTTTTAAAATCCTAACGCTGCCTCTCACTTCTGATACCCAGGTCCGAATAGCCACTTTTTTATGGGTAGGCATGGGTGTCGAAATTTCGCCGAGTTCCTAATTATGCGTGACTAGACCTAGTGCCCATTACTAGTATTACTTAAGTTAAAGTATTACTATTATTAATAATTATTATAATTATATTACTATTTAAAGTATTTAATATGTTAGAAAATATTGTTGGCGTATTGGCATAATAGTATTGGGTTGTTTATTAACATGATAATGATATGATGATTTGATTCTTTGTTTAAAATTAAAAGGTTTTGTCAATTTAATTGTACGAAGTGTCTACACATTCGGACAAATAGTGCTGGAGATATACATCAGGCGGGCATGTCACATGACCACCGGACGAAAAGTGGGAGAAATTCTTCCGGCTGGCAAGTGACCGCCCCGCCGGACGACTAGTGGAAGATATTATTTCGGTGGTAGACATGTCATGTAACAAGTGGTCGCCGGCAAAGTAGTCTATTTGATTCTGACTCTTCAAAGAAAAGAGTCCCTTATCTTGCTTAAACATCTTGTAAAGCTCTAGCTTGAAGCCTAAGTTTGAAATATGAACCAATTAAAATAAGACCAGTAGACTTCAATAGACCTATGTCAATAAAGTTGTATTTCAGGATTAGTATTTAGTATTGCATGTGAAGTAGGCTAGGCTACCACTATATCGGCCCTACATTAAGATGTAGGGTGTATTTCTTTGTGAACTATCGGCCTCCCTGCCTTAACTTTATTATTTATCACCCTCACTATTATTTTTTTAGTATTCCTATTTTTTTATTACCGTATTATCTCTCCCTCTCAGCATTGCTTCCTTCTAGAATGCATTATTGCTTAACCCCCACTTTGTTGTGGTAATATACCCAGTATTTTTTTCTATTATTTGTTTGCAAGATACTTAGTAAATTATTTGGTAGAGAAATAGATTTTAAAATTAACAATAGTTTTTAATCATTTACGGTCAAGTGACAAGGCCGACGGACAAATATTTGGAGCCACTTTGTTATGGCGGTCATGTGACTTGGTTGCCGGACGAATATCTCGATAAAGTAGTCTTCCGGTGGTCATGTGATTTTGTCGCCGGAAAAATAGTGCGGGAGATATATGTCCAGCGAGCCGGACGTGTAGACACTGCCTTAATTGTAACAAAAAAAAATAGAAATAAACTTGGGTAAATGGTGAGTATGGATGCCCCTATTTTCTCAATGGCCGCCAATCTTGGTTGACACCTATGCCTAACCTGAAGCCTAAATCGATCCCTATGCCTAACCTGAACCCTAAATCGATCCCTATGCCGGCTGATATTAAGGAGGGATGCCCCACAGCGTCTTTTGTGTTTATTATAGTTGCAGTGAATTAGGCTAAATAATTAGGGTTTAGGTTAGGTTGAGGGATCGATTTAGGGTTCAGGTTAGGCATAGGGATCGATTTAGGGTTAGGGTTAGGCATAGGGATCGATTTAGGATTCAGGTTCGTCCTTTAAATTTACCCCGATGCTTAACCTGAACTCTAAATCGACCCCTGCCTAACCTGAGCCTGAACTCTAAATCGATCCCTATGCTAACCTGAACGTCGTGGCATCCATAACTACCATTAGCCTAAACTTGTTTTAAGAATTGATAGTAAAATGGGAATTACTATCCTAAAAGTTCAAAAGCACATTCACTTGGATTTTGTACCAGTCCAATACCGACATCAAGACAGGAGGGCATTCATAGGAAATGTAAATAACAGAAAGGGAGACTATTCTAAAAAAATTTAATAAAGAAAGCTATCTACATGGTGAACTACTGTAAAACTACCATCACTATGGTCACCTATGAAAAACACCTACACATCTTTTAGGGAGTCATATATCCATTAGTGTTTGTGGCCCTTAAATAAACAGTTCAATCAAAATTTGCTGATAGGTGCAATTTCTAATTTAAAAAAAGGTTCCTTTCCTTATTTCTAGAAACCTTGAACTTTATTATTTAATTAATTTATAGCAATATGTAGGGTTTTATCATTTTTTAAATAAATGTATAGGCTACTTTATTATTTCATTGGGATATTATAAAATGTCCTTAGATTGTAAGTTATTTTATTGTCAATATATGTCCAGGCTACTCTTACTCTAAATATTTTAAAATATTTAATTTCAAAATTTGAATTCATGATTAAATTGTAGTTTGTAATTTGTAAAGTGCACTGCTTCTATTATTTTCATTTTCCTTGCAAATTTAGTTTAAAATTTTTATTATACATAAACATTAAATACAGGCTATGATTTTTAAAACAGGTCTTTAAAATTAATTTAATTTTGATACTTTATCACAAATAAGCCTACGAAGTCGTTTTATTTTCACAAGGCCGTGAAGATAGCAAGCACTTTTGATTACCGGAAGTATATCTTTATGATGGTCTATTTTTTTGTTTTCATTAGATACATCTTGCAAAATTATCCTCGGTATGTATTCATTTCGTTAAACAAATCATTAAACACCACTCAAATCAAGCATTAACTTATTCACCATTTAATAAGCTCTTCGGTATAAAGAAATCTTCTAATGACTGGAAAATAAGCTGTGATTGTGGATCATTCATAGTATAGAATATAGTCATTCTTAGGCCTAAATAAAGTAGAACTTGTTCGGACTTGACGACTCATGACTGACGCTAAGGAAAAAACTTTTTTTTTTTAAAAACTACAAATTCATATAGTCAATAGTACTGCAAGTGTACAAAGAATAATTGCTTACATGAACAATTAGGATGAAGCTTTATTAATGACAAATAAAGTAATTGTTAGGCTAAACTAAACGAAGTGTCTACACGTCCGGCGCGTGTTTAATAGTATTAAAAGTAAAGACACTGTTACAGTTACAGTGTAAGTAAAGCAAAAAGTCATCTATTTTATATTATTTTCTATCACAGAGCTCAGCAACCTTTTGGCACACCCCAGTCCTTTCCTAGAATTTTGTGTTACACCACAAGTAAAATCATGCAAAATTATACTAAATAACATCATGTAGTTAACATTTATAATATCATGTAATGTAATGTAAATGTAATACTGAAACTGTTATTACTGGACTCATCTCTGTTACCACAGAGTTGGACCACTTAGGAACAGGCTAACCAATGTCCCTTTTCTAGGAACATGGTTTTATTATTGTTGCCTAAAATCCTCTACTCAAATCCTCTAGTATTAAGTAGTATGCTGCTGCACAGTGTTGTGCTGTGACACATTGTTTGCGGAACTCTACTCTGTCAGATAGACAAAATCCAGCAATTAACCATGGCCTTTTTGTTTATACCCAGGGGAGCCAACCTAAATGGCTTCATGTGCCATTTCGTTCAACTCTTTGCACAACACATATTATTAAACTTAATTAAGAAAATAAATACAAAAATAAATGATGTAGGCAAGTATTTATTTATTTTCAATCCACATAATTATAAGATGAAGAAACATCTTCTCAGGTGACCACACACGTAAATACATTTTAATAGATTTGAATAGAAATATATCTCTTTAATTTATTTAAATACATTCCTGTATTGTAGATTAAAAAGATACTGTTATTGCACATTTTTGATTGACAAAGGTGGGATGGGGGAGCAGAAATTTAGGCTGCCCACCAACATCTCCTGAGCAAAGTAAGGGGAGCGGTCTGGGGAGGGGGTGTGGGCCACCTTTTGTTTCCATAAACCACAATGTTGTCTTTCAATACACTATTATGTTCTGTTCTGCCCCCTCCTTTTTACCACACATGCCTGCCTATTTAATTGCATACTACCTTTTGCTGTATTAAGGTTATTTAAGGTTATTTACCACCTGACCCACATACTGCTAAAGTTTACCAATGCTCTCTAGAGCAGCTTTTCCCAAAATTTTAAGTTTGGCAGACTGGTGGATAATTTTTGAAATTGCATTGCACCACGGACTGGTTACAGATTTATTAATTACTGGTATATTTTCTTTTTATTTGACCATAAATATTCATGTTGTTCAGACCAGCAACATTTGGCTCATGGACAGGTGCCGATCAGCAGACCACCATTTTGGGAATGCTGCGCTAGAGTATTGTACTCTTCTTTTTTAAGGAATCAACATTGTTTTATCTTCTTTCATTACAAGATCAGGCGATGTGAAGTTGATAAGCACGCTTAGATGATGAAATTATCAAATATACCCAAAATATATATATTCAAACTGGTGCAGAAAGTAATATTGATGATCCTACGAAGATGACTCAGTACTTGACTTCAAAAGTAGTATTAGGGTATCAGCACTTGATGCCTATAGGAGATGACATTGTTCAAATTTTTGCTAGCAGCAGAGTGTTACATTGTAAACGTGCTGCTACATAAGAGTCGAAATGGTCAAATTATTTTTTTTTTAACCTCTTGGTTATTACACACACCATTTAAATTGTTTTCCCTTGTAATTCTGGAAAACTAGTAAATTTATTCCATGGTTGATTTTTAAAAAAAATCATGTTTCTTTATTTTAACAGTCAATCATGCCACTAGGACTATTTCAAAATAAATTTTCCCCCAAGAAAACACCACCAAGACGAGCTCAGTCCTTGTCTAACCTTCATTTGGATGCGTCAGAGTCAAAAGCAGAGTTTGGTCTTGATTATGGTGCAGTTAAAGTCAGTTTAGGTGGCAATGAAGTTGCTTTTGAAAATGGCATGTGGATAAATGGTGAGTTATCACTCTTATGAAGCATCAACAATTATTTCTCTTCTTTTTCGATAGTCCATCTGTAATAGGGGTAGATGAATCACTGGTTACGTGATATGTTGTCCACCCATTCCTATCACTAAAGTTTTTTGTGTGTCCCAAGCAACTTTACAAGTTATTGCCCTTTTCACCAATTGCTGAAGCATGCTCACTTAGGGTGCCTAGCAACATAACCCCTTAAAACATTACTGCTTAAGTTTACATTACTCTCATGAGAATAAAAATCTTCCCTTTGAAAAAAATTCAGTTTTTATTTCTTTCATTACCAAGTCCCAAGAGTTAGGAGTTCAGCGAAATTCGAAGTTTACTCGCAAGCTTCGTTGATGAAGCTATTGAACAGAGTGATGTAGAATCTGTTAAAGTTATGCAGAGAGTGATATTGTTAATCCTATGATTGAATATAGCACTAACACTTTAATCAACCTTAAAATTTTTATTTGTACATCTGTAATTGAAGCTGGCAGTGGACAGTGGCCATGGTGATGACAGGAAAATATGAAAAATATTATGATATTCAACATCGCATATATTATAACTGAAAGGTTCTTCTTTAAATAACGGCATTTTTATCAGAATTATTCAGTTTTATGGTTTAAAAGGGGGGGGGTTGTAAAAGAAATGAAATTTTTCTAACTGGAGTTATGTCCCATTGTTGGGGGTGCGGTGGTGGGTGGGGGTGGAGAATAGTTTAAATCAAAAGTAGATTATACTTAAACTGTTAAATTTCAAATAAAGAGGTTGCTTCACCATCATCATCATGTCCCTTAGTCCTTGGCCCATTGGGGTGCCACAGATGACATGTGAACTATCCTCCATTCGTCTCTGTCTTCTGCACTACAGTGTTAGTCCTATTCACTCTTTGATGTTATCCTCCCATCTTTTTCTTTGTCTTCCTCTTCTTCTCCCTCCTCTTTTGGTGCCCTGCAATATTTCTTTGGCAAGCCCTTGTTTCCTTGTTACGTGGCTGTACCATAGTAGTTTGCATTTTTTCACAGTCACCAGTAGGTCATCGTACTCCCCAATTACCTGGCGAACCCTTTCTTTCACTGTATCATTGGAGATATGGTCCCTATAGCAGATGCCAAAAATCCTTCTGAAGCATCTAAGGTTGCTTACCTTATACTTGAACTGTTAAATTTCAAATAAAGAGGTTGCTTACCTTATACTTGAACTGTTAAATTTCAAATAAAGAGGTTGCTTACCTCTCTCTCTTTCTACATCAGTGAATTGAACTGAAAAAAAGAACCTGAACACATTCAATACAAGTAAATTAATGGCAGTGTTTGACCAAAGTGGCTCTTCTCAAGACCTAACTGTACATTTACTTGAAGTTGACCTAAAAGCAGTGTGTCAAAATTCTTATTTAACTTAAATGTCAGTGTAATGTTACTAGCCACTGTTTTATTACTAGTATTATTTTCATCTTTCATTAAACTCATTCGTACAGATGCATAGATTGTCTAATGCCACATTAAATTTGGACTTTTCCAGAAACAGCTGGAGGTGCCGCAAGCCATAAGGAAGTGACTAAATTGAGAAAGGCAAATCAGACTTTGCATGAAGAAAATAATTTGCTCAAATTAAAAATTGACATTCTCTTAGACATGGTAACGTTGCACCTTTGTTATTTGAAGAAGGCTTAAAATTAAAAACTTGTATTAAGCACTGTTTTAAGAATAATATTTTTTTAGTTGGAGCGACTGAGATGGAAATAATATGAAAAAGATTTAATGAGAACTATTAACATCTTTGTTTTAGTAAATAAAAAAAAAGAATAATTGTAGAGGTACAGGAAAACAAATTGCAGGAAATTATCTTAATGCCTTTTAATTTTTTCTGTTATGTTCTTACATTTGCTAATGACTTTAGATGTCTACTAAATTAATTGAGTACCCTGTACCCAAAGTCTGTGTGTAACTGCAGTTAAATTTTTTTTGGATAAATTAATGACCAACTTATGCAATTTACCCTGCCTGGGGCATATGCTGCCTTAAAGTGTTTTTCATTCATCTCGGTCCTGTGCTGTCCTTTCCAGGTGTATTCTATCCTTTGGGTTTTTCAGTCCAAGCTATTAAAGGCTTTTTTTGTATTAAATGAAGATTATATTATTCATAATGTAGGACGGAATTCCATTCAAAAAGACAATGGTGTACCGGTCGCAATTTGGTCTGCACACTATCTCTCTTGGCGAAAGTCAACCTGTTGATCTCAAAGCTTTGTCTCAACCCGATCTTCTCTTCAGTTCAGCATAATTGAAGACCTGACAGCAGTGTAAATTCTCTGTAATATGCTCATTTGCATAATCTCATTTCTTTGGTATCTTGATGTGGTATCCTTCCCGAACTTTTGGTACTCTCTCTCTTCTTCCCATATATTTTCCAACAGAGGGTATACCACCATGTTAACTTTTTAAATATCTAAGATATTTTCCTCTTTTTCAGCTTGCTGAAACATCTGCTGTATCACATTTTCATGAAAATGAAGTCAAGCAGTTACGAGAAACAAGGCAAGCTGCAAAGAAGAGATAGATGAATGGTCTGAACTTGAAAGCATTTAATCATCATTAACTGTTATCATTAGTCTATTTTCTGACACCTTAAATGAGCAGGGGAAGGATTATAAAAAAAAATTTTTTGTCAATAACTAAAATATAAATATTTCAGACACTGTAGGCCTAAGAAAGCTTAGTTCAATTTACTTACTAATATTTTTTTAATGATTATTCATACTGATGGGAAAGTTAGAGCTTTTGAGTGGAGTTTCATGTTCCCACATGTATTAGCAATTAATGAGCTAATTTAAGAATGATCACGTACAAAAGTCTGCAGAGCTTCACATAAATTATAACAAGAAAATCAGTGTATTTATGTCACCAGGAGAAATAAGACAATTCAAGGAGGCACTTTTAAAAAAGTTGACATAGAAATTTTTGTTGGCACAAACCAAAAAATAAGAAGCAGCGGTGGTTGGCTCACTTTTGGTCTTACAGGTGACCGACCTCTCATGGTTTGATAACTGCCATAACACTAATGTAAATACAAGTGAATTTAATTTCACTAATGACAATGGGTGTTGCCAATTATAGGTTAGACAGGGGCGATGTGCGTAAATGGGACAAACATCTCTAAACAGTTTCACAGAATGACATCTGTGTTGCATTGCCAGCAAATGAAAATCAGTAGAAGTGCTACACACATTTCCAGTATACTGGTAGCGCATTCTTTGACATTTATAAACATTTAAGATTTAAATGTATTTTGAGATTGCAGGCTTTATTGGTGTGGTGGATTGCACAGGCCCGGCTGGGGCACAGTTTGCAGACCCCCGCCTTAAATAAGAGGCCTCATCGAAAAAATTGGTATATAATAATTATGTTAATTTAAAGCACCATTTTATTCAGCTAAGCTCATTTTTAAAAGCAAACTTAAAGAATTTTGAAATCAATTTTAATTTGTTTAATTAAATTCAAACATAACTTAATTTTTAAAAATAATTTTACTAGCTTGAATGTCTGTCCAATCCACTGATATTTTTATTGAAACGTTTTTGACATTTATTCATATTTAAATATTGGAAAGAACACTATAATTTTACTAAATATATAATATCATATTTGGAATTGGCATAAGTGCAAGAGATAATGAAATGTGTTTTACGCTGAATGAAAAATGGAACTGCATGTGGTTGTTTTATTTAATATAATTTAATTCTATGATATTCATGTGTTTTTTAAAAATAGTATACGTGTAAATAAACCATTTTAAACATTTGTCATTTGTGTTTCATGGTTTAATATTTATTTCAAAAGGATGTAAAAAAAAAAAATGTGTAAGCCAAGTTTAATTTTAGTCATCCAAATTTTCTGAATTAACATAACCTTTTAGACACAAGTACCAGTGAACCAGAATAGAATTGTGGTGAAATGATTCGCAGATTCGTAAATGAATCATCACCTGCTCGTGTCTAGAGGTTTTAATAATAGATTCAAACCAACCACAAAGGAACATGTTCTCATCATTTATATCCTCATATTTAATTGTAAATAAGTCTACAACCAATTTAATTAGACGTGACACGACCTAATTTTTTTGACATAAATTTACAAACCTTTTTAACAGATATCAAAGTCTGACAGCTGTGGCATATCAAAAGCTTGCAAGCATGGCTTAGATCAACTTTGCCATATGAATTTACAATCTTATTTCTAATGGCTATGGGTTATTGGCCTTCTGTAGAAACCTAAAATTTCATCATGTATTGCTTTATAGTAAGAGAAGTACGTTCTGACTGATTAAAACGTATATTATCAATATAATATAATTCATTATCTGGATTGATTGATCACTGCATGAGGTCATTTCTATGGTGGATGTAGATTTTCCACTCCTCACCTTTGAAAGTGCTCACGAGAGGGACAGATGTGGACTTCCCAGCTGTACGTTGTGGAATTGACTTTCCAGCAGTATTTCGATTCCTACAAACTCGCAGTCCTATGTGATGCAGGCTCATGGTTTGGTAGGCGGCTGTTTAACGCTGTGTGGACTCCTCAGAATCAGGTCCTGGGCATTATCCTCAAATCTAGCTGCTAAGGTGTGGTTTGTTTCTTGCAATACAGCAACCTGGTGGGTAAAATGCCAACTCATCTTCTCACTTGTGAAACTCACAAGTATATGTGCAGTGCGCTCTGTACAGAGCGTGACAAGAGTTGAAAAGAGTGGCCTACTGGTCCAACACAGCTTATATATCTGCGATAGGGGGGATTTATTGTTTGGCTGACCCATTGACCCAAAGCCAATGAAATAATTTGCATAAGTACTAAACCATGTGATGTGAAATCACTCAAGGTATGTGTCTGTCAATGAAAACTGTATAGGGAAAAAAACTCATTAAAAAACAGGGACGTAATTCTATTACTGAGTGCTTACTACACAACAAAAAATAAAATTTGAAGGTCCAGCAAGATTTTATCAAATCAATATTCTTAAAACCAGTAACAAAGTTGGGCAACACATGTAAATTAGTATTATTTTTATTGAAAATATGTCAATTTACATACTCTACAACACTTATTAAAGTTAAATACAAATAATTTATGTTGCTCATACTGTGATTAACATCTCCACCTCATGTGACCCAACACTAACTGTGGCAATTAAACCAGAACCTAATTTAAAAATCTGTTGTTTTTTTACCATGACATGAGGGATGGGAGAGAAGTCATTACATTAATTATCTTTTTTAAAAAAAGATGTGAATGAAGGTCAGAAATCTTCCATTTTGGATGTTTTAAAATATTTTAACAACAGTTTTTAATAAAAATATTTGTTTTTATATAAATAGATTTTAAAACCATGAGAAATAAAAATAAGAAAAAAGGCCTTTGCATTTAAAATCAATGCACTATAAAGTGTTCAAGCATGATATTATCACAGATTGTTCAAGACCTTTCAATGAGATGTTACGATTATCAAAATCCATCACTTCTTTCAGGACATTTAGGTTTCTTGTGACCTGAAAAGAATATGTCAATCTTCATGAGTCTAATCAAAATTGATATTAAATGGTATTTTCCATTGTGAAATTTCTATGAAAGTCATCATATACCTATTAGCTGTGGTATCTCCATAAATTCACTTGAACCAATTGATTTATCTCTATATATACCAAACAAAATATGATGGCATTGATTTCAATGCCCCAAATCATATGGGAAGAAAAAGACAATATAAAAACACCCAAAAACAGAAACAAACAAATTTCCAGAACTGATATAACCAGCAATCTTCAGACAAGTGGTAAAACTAGTCTTTGAAACAAACATGGAAACAATATCCACAAAAAGAACTTGACTTTCAGTTAATGAGAACTTTAGTATGAAAAAAAAGAATCAATTCCAAAACTATAGGAAAAAATCATATGCCAAAAGCTATTTCTACAGCCTTTAAGGATGGGTGAAATGGCAGTACACAACAGCACTTACAAGCACATGAAAAAGGTATGATCATCATATAAAACTTAAAAATAACTGTTTAATAATGTATCAAAAGTAAAAACGAAAATACCTGGCTTGCCACAGTATCCGCATGTGGGGGGTTTTCTTTGTTTTGGCCCATCATTATCACTGGAAGCTGGTCTTTTTTTGCCAGTCCCAGCTCCCTTAGGTTGAAATGAGTTAAATGAATTAGTCCCTCCTTGATTTCTATATGTGGAGTCACTTGAACCTAGACAAGCACAATATAATTTAATGATATTTAATATTAGAAAAGTAAATTTAGATATAAACAGTTGAAATAAATTAACATACAGATTTAAAAGAAAATGTTTTTAGAAATACAAAAACACAATTAAAGAAAAAATTAAAATCATCTAATCCAGACCTGTTTACCCCCAAACTCTTAAAATTAAAATCGTACTATATCATCACAAAATCGTTCAATACATTATTCTAATATTAAAAAATAAACATAAAGTATACATAATGTATACACCTCAAAATCGTAATTATATGCCAAAATCGTAAGAGTAAACAGGTCTGTTTAATGGACAGGATGAACATTTTTAACTCTTTTAACTCTAGGTTAAATTTCACAACAAAAGGACTGGATAAGCACATTTAAAAAAAAAAAAAAAAGCAAACTCAAATCAATATACATTAGAACACACTAAATTTTAAAGATCAAAACACAAAATTCTCTATGTAACAATGTAACACAGATGGCACTGATTTCACTAATAAAAATTATTGATGCTAAAGGAGATTCTTAAAAATACTGCAATTTTGCTTGCTGCCTAATTTTTTTTTGTTTTATGGAAATAGACTCAATTTAAATACGGTGTAATAACTCTGTGGTGTAAAAGGGGGTGGGACATTAGTAAATTGATATAGTTCAGGGGCAGGAAAAAGTGTTAAGGGGGTGGGGGTTAGTACTTTTTGGGAATCTTATTAAGTGCATTACTTTGTAAAAAATCTTTAGTAAATGAGAAGTTCAAGCATTGCGACTGCCATTATTTGGTGGGTACAGCTAGTCACTTAACATAATTCCTTATTAAAATTTTTTAAATATTCTGGAAGAAAAAAACTTAGTTGACTCACCCATTTCATCTGCCCACTGGAAAAAGCTACATGACTGCTCTCGTGGTTTACTGCATGAATAGAAGGGCCTTCCAGTGTTTGGGCCTAGCTTCTGAACTGTCAAGCTAGAGAATGAAAAAATTGATTTGGTCAGTTCAATTACTTAAATATCATCAATATATGATATTAGTATTGTATAGTCTCTTTTTCATATTTTTCTTTTACTATAATACAGAATCAGGAAGAATTTTTTTTTTTAAAAACACAAGAGAATCAGAAATGTAGAAAACAAAATTCATACAATATTGAACGAAAAGATCAACATTTCAAATTTAACAATGTGCAATTATAATGCAAACTTATCAACATATAATTTGACCATAAAAAAATTATTTAAAAAACAAACAATTACCAATCTTTAAGAAAGCAAACTTATGATTTTGCAGGAAGCCCACATTTGTATGTACAATTATGATGTAAACTTATCAACATATAATTTGACCATAAAAGTAATTAAAAAAAAAAAATTACCAATCTTTAAGAAAGCAAACTTACGCTTTCGCAGGAAGCCCACATTTGCATTGCACTTCAGCATCTCCACCATTGCTATAAAAATTATTTTTTGATCCATTAGTTTCTCTGTTCTGAACCTGGGGACTCTGAAAACTGTTTGCTCTACTTGGATTCGGCGCTCTGAAATTGGTGACACTGTAAAAGGTAAGTTCGAAAGCAACAGTTTCAATAATTATGAAAGCTCCTAAGCATTTCTATATTAATTATAAAAACTAAAAGAAATGAATTGTTGAACTCAGGGGCGAAAAATAAAATAATGTATAATACAAAGGTCAAAATAGTATAAAAACTAACTTATTGGAAATAAAATCATACCTATCACTCTGTTGTTGAAGGGGGACACTATCATCAGCCCAGAGAAAAAAATTACAGTTATTGCCATTCAGCCCTGGACACTTGTAAAACTGTCGGCCTGTATTTGGTCCTTCTTTTCGCACAGTTAACAGAAGAGCATCACTGCCACATGAACAAACGATAGTTTTGTCACCGCCTGCTTCGGAGATGCTGTTCCTTTTAACATTTGCAGATGTTGCTGACGATGGCCTGCTTCTTGTGTCGTTGTAGCCCTGGTCAAGAGTTGATAAAGGAATTCTGTTGGTCCCGGTTCTGGTACTGTTTGGAGTTTGCTGGTTTCTAAACCCACAGACGGCAGAGGCAGACAAGGCAACTTTGGGATCCCTGTTTGTGACTGTAATTCTGTTGGTTCCTTGGAAAGAAGCTTGATGCATCATGGAGCCACCAGCAAAACTGTCAGAGGTAATTGTTGGCGTAGAGGTATGATAGTTTCTGGACTGATTAGGTTTTATTTGGGTTTTATTGCCTACTGCACTGCTCTGGCGAGCATTGGAGCCGTTCAATCCAAAGTTGCCAGGCCTTCCACTAGTAGAATCAGATTGTCTAGGGGTGTGATTAACTATTTCTGTGCGAGGCATAACTGTGCTGTCATTTTGTGCTGGTAAATATTATTTACAAAATAAAATCAATGTTGTTTGCAATTAGTAAAGTCTACTAAGGCATGATTAACTTAAAATTTTTTTTTTAAGTTTTCAAAGCTTTTCTTGTTTGACCGCTATACATGCTTTGGTTAAAATATATCTTCTCTACTTATTTACCCTATGACTTAGAATATTAAGAAAAAAATGAAAAGGTATAGGTTTTATTTGCATGATTAATAGTTCAGCTACATTCAACAACAGTCTACAAATATTTTTCTCACATCAACGCTACTGAAACTTTCTAATGGTATGAAGATATATATATATATATATATATATATATTTTTTAAACATTTATTATTAACATTAGTTTCCTACCTCTGACATTCTTTAGTGAAAAAAACTAAACATGATATAAAAAAATAAAGCCCATACACTGATTTCCTCCCATGAAAGGACGAATTCCTAATGTTTCATTTAACATTTCATCACAGCCACCTACACATCCAACATATCTGCAAAAACAATTCAATATTTAATTGAGAACTCAAATAAAAAAAAAAAAGTAATGTTTGTCAGGTTCATTCAATTTAAAATTAATATATATATATATATATGTTTATATTTAAAATATTATTAACTTACTCATTAGACATTGTCATTGGTACATTTCCTGGTTTAAACTTGAAAAGAAGTTTTTTCACAGAGCCTGTTCCACACTGAAATGTAATTGGATAAAAAAGATTAAAACTTGTGAGTAGTTTTCTTTTGATAAATTACAAAATATGTGTATTAAATGGCTTTCAAGCTATTAAATTTAAAATACACAAAAATATATGCATATAAAAAATAAAGCTAGATCTAGTAAAATATAATGTCAAGCGACTCAAAGTGTAGTTGTTTTTTTTAATGTGTAAAACATGGAAGCTGAATAGAAATAAAAGTCTTGTACAAAAGATTAAGAAGATGTAAATAGTTTTACTAACCACCTGACAGGTTTCATCTAAAGTTTTAACATGTTGTACAAAATCTGGCAACCAAATGCTTGCACGACAATTTGGATATCCTGAGCAGCCAATATAAAAACTGAAACACCATAAAAACAATTCAACAATTGACTTACAACAATTATTTCTACTTTTTATTTAAAGCCATAGTGGGAAATCCTAGCTCCATCTGACAGATGTAGAGGATGGACCTCTTAGGTGTGACCAGTTTGGTTTCACCAAAATGAAATTTTTAAAGTAAATATTATCTATAATAAGAAATCATTCTCAGAATTTCAAAGTTTGTCAAAATTTCAGTGAGGCAAGTAAGCATTTGAATATATGCCCTTTCTTATATAATGTTAATTGTTTACTAACTGCTCACCATTAATGAAATTTCCTGCCTACATTTCAGTAGAAAATTGTTTTTAATATAAAAAAATGTTTGAAGTAATACTAATAATGGCTGACTGAGTTGAAGCTGATGGAAGATGAAAATGTGGAGAACTATTGTGAAATTTAGAGGCAGAGTTGATATGTCCCTCGAGTATAAGAATGGATCATAAAAATTTTTTTCAGCTTCTTAATGAAAAGGTACGACAAAATTCACATAAAAGTTTAGTTAAAATATGATATCAATAGCTTATTAATTCATTTAATTTATAGTCATAATATTTCATGATTTTATAGGTACATATATAATTAAGCAAATTTTGCTTTTCCCACCTGTTTTAAAGGATATTTAAATTGATACGTCCAAAATATAAATCATCAAATATTTACCATATTTTTTATAGGTATAAATTTATCAATTTTTAAAAAAAAGAAAACTGTTATCTTTTGTATATTGCCATGTTTGAATGCTTTTAGCATTCACCCCTTTTTGAATGTATTAGAAAAAAAAATATTTTCTTGGAATTAAGAATGATTTTGTGTACTTTGCTCCCAAATTATTTAAAGATTTTAATTTTGGTAGCAATGTCTAGGAAACATGCATATAAAGCAACAAAAAATAATAGAAAGCTTTTCATACATACCCTTTACCATCTTTCTTCGAACGAAGTGTCATGGGGTTTCCACATTTTTGACATGGCATAACCACTGATGGTGACACATCTGACATGTAAAAGCAGACCAACTAAACTTAAATGCAATTCATAACGTTGCTAATGAGAGTTAAAGAAATTATATTAAATTTTTTTTTAATTAAGCATAACACTGACTATTCAAACTATTTGCATAAATAAATATATAAATGGACAAATGAATTTTATTTGATCATGAATTTTGAAGTTTTAACATTAAACACAGATTAGGAAGGATTTATTTAATAGTATTAAGAATTATGATTTTTTTTGATAATGTAGAAATGATTAATACTGGTAATGATATTTAGCAAAACATACCACTAGCAGATGTGATAGTCTGAGCTTCACCGAGATAATGAGACAAAGCCTCATCAAGCTTTTGAGCCTGTGAAATGTTTATAAAGATTTGCAATCACTCATTAAAATAAAAGCTTCTTCAGCGATAAGGCTAAAACACAACTAAGGAAATTAAAACGCAGACAGTGCTGTTAAGAAATATTTTAGCTCCCTGTTGCAAAATACAAACATTTGGCACCCTTAAAAATTCGTGGATGGAACTTCATAAAGAAGTGCGATTTTTATTCTGTTTCTAAGTTGAAACCTTGCAACAGCTGATGGTTTTGATAAAAGCAGGAGTATACCTGTCTACAAGCTTCTATAAAAACTTCTTTGTACTTCTGAACTTGAACTTGCAAAACCTCTGAAAAAATATAATTGTTTAATTTGTTTAAATTGTATTATTTTCAATAGTAAATATATATTATATGTAAGTTAAAGCTAAAAAAACTCACTGTATGATTATTAATAATTGTGACATCTATGAGATACACATACCTTCTTTTGATTTGCGACCCTCACAAATTCTGAGAAAGGAAAACATATTTGACCATATAAATGAAATAAATAATACCTTACTAATATTTTAAGGGACAAGTTACTTAGAAATTAGATTTTAGGTTTTTTTTTAAATTTTAGTTAGCAACAAAAATAATGTTTCAAAAAAATTTGTTTTAAAGTGTCATTTTCTTAGTACTTACAATTTTAAGTCAGCTTCCAATTCTGCTCGTAGATGTGGCTTAGACATTTCATAACCCATGCTATCATAACCTAGGACAATAAAAAGTCTATATGAAATCATTATTTAAAAATTTAATAGGCTAAATTTAAAATAATGTTAAAGCAATTCACTAAATTATAATAAATAGTAACAGTTCTACAGAGAAGCAATGATGTACCTGAAGGAAAACAAGTGGATTCACTAATTTCGATCAATATCACAAATTTTAGTTTAGGAAAGGCATTCTAGAATATGCTTTCCTCTAAGTGTTCTATATGCTGAATGAAAGGATAACTTTTGATTGAAAGTTATGAAGGGTATATATAACTTGAAGAAAGATGTGAAAGCATTTGCAATAATTTAACCTTACTATACATATTAGCAGGAATTTGTAACTGGTAACAACTACAAAATTTATTTTTAAAAAAATAGTTATTTATATTAACCAATTACAAGATAGTTATTTATATTAGCTAATTACAAAGTCCATGGCAACTAATAAGACGAAAAAAAAAATCAAGCAGGGTGTATATATTTTTTATGAATTAAGAGAATATTTGAGTGAGAAAAGCTCCTACCTTCTACTAGTCCCATACCCAACTGTCCTGGGACAAATCTACCATCAGGTCTTAGCCCAACATACATTCGAGATTTTACTGTTTCAATATGGTCAGCATGTGTCGCATCAGTACCTGAAGTTACATAAGTAAACATTGGTATTTACCACACTAATCGAGACGCTTCATTTTCCAGTCACACACATACCACACCCAGATATGAGAGTGACAGATAATACCTCACTTGTAAGATGGGGTTGTTAATTTGATGAAATTTAAATATAACTAAAGAAATGGTAACATAAAACAAATTTGGAGTTTAGGAATCCAGGTGAAGCCCTAAAGACAATGGGCTGTAAAATACCAAAGTATGTTAGAAGATATATCAATTACCGATTCCATGTTTCTCCATTAAAGATATAAGATCTGCTTCTGTTAGAAGAGGTGGTGCACTTGTCTCTCCAGGTATCAACTAAAGAAAAAAAAAATTTGAACAATAAAACAGAAAACATAAGAGCATCCAATGGCTCCTTATGAGCGGGTCACGCACTTTTCAGGCTTCCCCAGGCCAACACTAAGGGGGTTGACTTATGAACAAAATAGCTTATAAATGAGTATATACCATGTTTAGAATGTAATTCTTATGTTTACCTACCTCAATAGAATTAGGCTCAAACTGATCTCCTTGTCTGTATAATGGAATTACCTGTTGATTAATAAATGAAATGTCTTAAAGTTAATCAAAAAATATATTTATAATCTACTCAGAAATGAAATTATTAAAGTCACTTTCCTCTAATAAAGCAAAGTACCATTTATAGCAAATAAAGAAAATAAATACAAATGAATTTATTAGCAAAAGACGACAACCTGCATTATCCCTAGTGAATAACTAAGAGAAAAGTTACTTAGATATATTTTTAATTTGGATAATAAATGTAAATTTATCTAGATTGGGAACAGACTTTATGGAGTTATAAATTAAATAAATTATCAAAGTCACAAAAAAGGTTTTTACTGAAACAAAGATAATTGAAACAAACAAAATATGTTGCTGTTTATGCTGTTATATGTAGAAAGCTGTTTCTACTAACTTTGGCATTCCATTTCTCATATGGGTAGACTTCAAGGTAATTCCTTGCCAAGATCATTAAACCTTGTGCTGAAAACTTGAAGGTGAAAAAATTATTAAAAATGAGTACATCTTAAGTTGAAGCTTTTAATTGCAAAATGAAATATTAAAAGTCTCTAAAATTCATAGATTGAGACTCCTTTTTTTCTTCTTCTACATAAATTCATTTGAGAGCAATTATTTTTTTCATGTTTTGAGATCAAAAGATTACTTACAGACTCTCCTGCTATATCGATGTCCACTACTGTCTCATGACCTTGAGCATCTTGAGAAAGGCAGGCCAAAAAGTGACGTACAATATACTCATAAATTTTCCTTTCATTTCCCTTAACAAAAAGATATGATAAAACTATCTTTAAAATAACAGAGCAAACGGCACAATGTTTATGGGTCATCAAAAGATGAAATTACAACAATATAAAGATTAAAATTTTTATTAAAAAATAAATAAATGCATGCATAATTTATATTTTTAAAGATAACATTGTACACTAAAAATCTTCAGGGACATTCTCAATTTTTATTTAAATGCTAATATGTATTTACACACCTGTAAATTATCTGTATATTTCAAAGGGTGTATAGGTGGGTGAGCTTGATCAGTTTTATTCCCATTTCTTGGGTTCGGCCCATTGTTCAGAACTTGTTGTGCAAAGGCTAATTGAATTTTGTTGTGAAAGAAGTAATTAGCAAGAGTTCATTGCGTATAAGAGAAAAATTTAATTATTGGCGTGGAAAAACAAATATGTTAACAAAGCCATTGATATATAACGTATCCCCTGTACGTACGTGTTGCTAAAGAGAGCAATACAATTTCATTACCTCCCCAGTCTGGATCTCTAGTTTGCTCTTCGACCAGACTGACCAAATCCATGTCCTTTGGGAACATATTTGTTTCAGTTCGAGGGTAGCTTATAAATCCTTGAGTGTAGAGTTTTTCAGCAATTTTCATGGTTTCTTTAGCATTTATTTTCAGTTTCCTTGAGCCCAGCTTTTCTAGTTCCTGGTCAAAGAAATAAAGGCGTCTCATACTCGACATTTACAGTTTGAAATGGGAGGGACTTAATGATGTAAATTATTGTTTCTACTGCAGCAACTTTCAGCAAGACAAGTGATACTTTTGGTCTATTTGAGTCATTTTGTAAACAGGAAATTCTAAAGTAATCTTTAGGTTTTATTTTAAGCATTGAAAATTAATTTAGAAAATATGCATTTTAAGGTAACCTCATTTAGCACATTTTTATACGTTAATAATCCATCACAGGTTGTTCCAAATCAGGTTCAAAGAAGAAAGAGTGTTGGACTGCGATAAAGCTTTCAAGTAGATTAATGAGACACAAACAATTGGTGTACAAAATACAATACAGGTTGATCTTTACATAGCTGCAGTGCCTTTTATCCTGTTTGGTTTTTTAATTTCCTTTCCGTTTTTCTGAGCTTTGTTTTTGTTACGGACTTGTGCCCATTCTAAATCTTTTATGTAAGATATATATATATATATAATTCATGAATGCTTTTTTTGTTTTACTGATGAAGACATTTGCTGAAACGTTTGCATTTGTATTCTGTGTAGTCATTATCAAAGCTTAACCTATATTGTATTTTTACACAAATTAATTGTGTCTTATGTATACAAAAGAGGAAGGATGGATATGGAGTTAGCAACCCTATCCCATAAATATGCACCTGCAACAGCGATAATGGTAAAGTAAAAAGCAAATATAATTGGAACTGTGCACAGGCCAGGCAAGTGGAGAAATCTGAAACCACAGACAGCTCCAGCTCCTAAACACCTACCCCATAGATATGCACATGAAAACGGCATGAAGAATAGGCGGTACATAATAATTTATTTACGCACCACAGTATCTAGAGCTTGAGGTCTCCATTTATTTTTGCTTTTACTTTTCACATCAACTACCGTAGCTAATGGACTCTGAAATTTTTAAATAAGAAATAATGTGATACATCTTTAAATTTGAGGACTAATAAAACAACCAAACAGGGGTAGAGATTTTCTTTATTGACATTAATTGAACAAATAATTTGTGTTGAATCATTAAGAATCTTTCTAATTCATTAAAAAAAAATTCAACAGAAAGTTAATTTAACTGTAAATTACCCCTAAGCACAAATCATAAAGCACTTGACATGCCACGAAGTCAAAAAGGCGGTTCCTGTAGGCACAAGTAAAAATGTTTAAGAAGATATTTTGAAGGTATATCATAAATAGGGTAAGTAGTAAATCAAATAATCAACTTAATGGTTTGTTACTCTATAAAAAGCTTATTTTCTTAAAGGCGATAATCAGCTATAAAAAATCTTTAGATATCCTATCCTCCAACTTCAGAGTTCATGTGATTCTTTTTTTTTCTCTACTTTAATTACTTACCAAGCTAAACCTGTGTGTGGGCATAAAGTGCATTAGGAGTGTCACTAATTTAAGGGTTTCAAGCGTGGAATTGTTGCATAAAAATATTAGTGACAATTATACACTTATTTGTGTCGGTCATAGAGAAATAATACCAGCCCTAAATAAACCATGACAATGGTTTAGCACTTAAAACTTTGAATATCCTACCTTTTCCAACAAAATTCTGCTTTAACATCATCATGCAGGTGAGTTACTGAAAGGGAAGAAAAGCTGGCTAGAGACAATTCACATGTATTGGTTTAAAATGTTTTTTTTAATTCAATACCTTGGATACTAAATTTGAATTGTATCAAACTTTGATCAAAGAACTGGTTACCTTTTAATTTCCAAAATGGCTCAGGTACAAAAGCTTGCACTTGCTTGTACCTTTCTACCACAAAACCCAATGTAGGAAACTGACAACTGCCATAACTAACCAGCTGTTCGGCCAGAGCTTCAGGAAATATTTTCTGCAACCGCAGAGTTTGGAACCTGGTAAATGCAGCTCCTAAATTTGAAATTAAAAAAACTGTGACAGAAATTTTAAGCTCATAGCTGAATTACAACAGCATTTAACATTGACCTTACCCCAAGTGGTAATGTCACCATGAAAAGTATATTTCAACTTCTCCATGTATCATGTATGCAACAAAATCTATCAACAGTTGAGACTCAATTACCCTATCATGTTACATGAAGATTGCACTTGGAATACATCATGGGTCTTCATTTTCATCTTGCCAAATGTTAAGCTAATTGGACGCATTATATTTTTTTAAAAATAACCGGTGGTGTGCTCTATAAGCTTTTTACCAAACCCATTGAGAATAATGCTTTTAAAGGGATTCATGGTCACCTTTCGTGGTTTATTACGATGAGCACCTTCCAGTTGAAGGCAGTAAGACGGTTTGATTAAAAAATATTTGGTCATCTTGGATGATACTTTTTAGTCTGAATAATTAAGTATATGTTTGCTTAGAATTCTGATTACATTCATTTACATTTATTTAAATTCCATTTTTAAAATTTAGCAGGAGGGAATTCATAAAATTTCCCTTAAGGCTGTATATAAAGTGACACCGTGACCTTGACCTTTGTTGACAGAATATTCTGAAACTCCATTTAATGATGCCTAGCGCCCAGATCAGCTCAAAATTGAAAAAAGATATATTTATTTTTCAGAAATGATCCTTAAAATTCCCAGTTCAACTCAAAAACATGTAACTAAACAATCACAAATACTTTAACTTGATATATGGCCTCTTTAAAATTTTTTGAAGCAGGCGTTTAACATTCAGTGCATTTTTTACTGACCTATTCGAAGATCCAATTCTTGGCGCACATTTACTGCATCATTGATTCTGACATCAGGAGCTACAAGGTTGTTCACAGCCCTTGTCACTGCCCTAGAATTCAAACAAAAGAGGAAGATCCCTGGCTATTAACTGATCAAAAAAATGTTAAACTGGAGATTAAGTAGAACTGACAATTTTAAAATATAGCTGTGATTATTAATCACGTGAATTTTCATACATCAAACGTATAAACAAAAAAAAACAACAAAAAACCAGGACTCTTAAAAAAATTTAATTTAGCTATTAATACTAATACAACATTGACCCTTAATAGATGGGTTGACATAATCATTTGGTATGTTGGCATTATTGCGATCATTATATCAGGTTTAATCTCCAAAATTGGTTAAAAAAACAAAAAGATTCTTAAATAAAATATGATAATCTAAATCTAATATTAACAGATCTAAAGAAGATCTTACTGTGGTGTAATCTCAGAAAATTTGGCTCTGTACACTTTAATGTTTGGTTTCACTGAAAACAAAATAAACTTTAGTATTCAATAGTTAATTACAGCTTAAATTTGTTAGAAGTCTTTGGATACCCCCATCAACTAATCAAATGATTTTAATAGACAAATAAAGCAGTAATTGATTATTTATAGCAGTAGTAATTGTCACATAAAACCGGAGTAGGCAACCGCGATGCCACTCAGCAAATTGAGTACTGAGGGGATAAATTTGAAAATAAAATAAAATACCACATTGAAAATCTGCAAAATTTGAATCAGGCAATCAAAGTTTTGCACTAAAAAAATTCAGTCTCTCTTTAGTCTGTGGACAACTTTGGGCCTAGCCTTACACAGTCTCAAATATTTTTTAATGCTGCGTCTTTCTTCATTTAGTTACACAGGTCTGATTACCATCAAACTCCTAAAATAGTACAATATTGTCTCAAAATCGTACAATACAGTATCATCTTAGTAAATAAATAAACATACAGTATATATAATGTATACAATAACTACTCAAATCCGGTTACAGTGGGATCGAGTTAATCTGACGCAAAAAAAAAAAAAAAGAAAGAAAGTAACTTCCTACAGTAGATGGCTGACATTTATATTGCAATCTGCTTTCACTTTGTTTTGCAGACGTGTAACAATATAAATATCAATTAATATTTGAAAATAAATAAACATACAGAATATATAATGTATACAATAACTACTCAAATCCGGTTACAGTGGGATCGAGTTAATCTGACGCAAAAAAAAAAAAAGAAAGAAAGTAACTTCCTACAGTAGATGGCTGACATTTATATTGCAATCTGCTTTCACTTTGTTTTGCAGACGTGTAACAATATAAATATCAATTAATATTTGGGTGAACTTGCAGATCACATTATCACAGTCTGTCACAGGTAAAAATTAAGTTACTAGTGAATTTAATGACGTTCAAACCTAGAAGTCAGTTCAGTATAAAATAAAATGCATTGAAATAAGAATTAATTAACAGATGAAGACGTCATTTACAAAGCCTACCAAGTAACTTGAGATTTATTTTTTAGAGAAAAAAAAAAATCAATCAATATCCATTAAGCCTATTTCTCATTTATATAATATAGTCTGATAACTACCACAAGCTGTAAATAGGGCTATTAAAAATTGTACAACTGTTTTGTGCATTCTAAAAATACATTTCAAAGGCGCTCTCAGATCCTATAAATCTCAAAATCTAGTGTGCAGAGCAGATCTCATTTTCAAATGTTTTCAGTTTTTGCACCTCACCGCAGTTCAGCTGAACGAAATCGCTATTTCATAAAATTAAGTCGTACAGCACAGAAGCAAACAAAAGCAAAGACTAAAACTGTCACTAGGGCGACTACGCTAATATAACTGTTGCCATGTCTAGTGAATTCATTAAGCAAACAGAAAGCAAAAATATCCTCATCATCACCATCATTAAGAATATGTGGAAGTGTTATTGTTATAGACTTAAATATTTATCAAACACCCCCCCCCCCCCCCCCCAACAAGATCTCCTAAAGCAACATCTTCCCTTTTCAGGACAAACATAATATACTTATACATGGACCCCAATTTATCACATTTCTTGATCCATTCACTGTTGGATGTAGAAAGGAGCTAAAACTAACGCCCACAATGTACTTTCTTATTTTTTTAATCAGAAAAACTACTGGAATTAATATATTTTCAACCCTGTTTCTTTACAGTGTAGTTCTGACAGGTCTTGGCATTACAAATGGTAAACAAGACATCTCAAAATCGTACATTGTGGGTCAAAATCGTAAGAGTTAACAGGCTTGGTTACAGAATTTAGTGAATCTGTTTAGATGTTACAGGAAGATCAAACTTTAAAACTGGGATTTTAACAATTTTTTTTTTTTTTTGGTTGGTTTGTATCAAGATTCTCTACCATGGATTTATTAAGTCAAGATCCCAAAATGTTGATATGATTATAAAAGCAAAGATGCATTAAGTTATAAAATTCAGCCAAAATGTATGCAGCCCGCTAATCAAAATGAATTTTGAATCTCACAATAAATGATTTAGTTTCCATTTAATAGAATAATAGCTTCTTCTTTTTTTTTTTTTTTCTTTTACTTTAGAAAATAGGTTGGTGACGACTTATATAAAAGAACAGTACTGGTATACAAATATCAAAAAAAAAAAAACTCTGCTTTTAAAAATGTATGCAGCCCGCTAATCAAAATGAATTTTGAATCTCACAATAAATGATTTAGTTTCCATTTAATAGAATAATAGCTTCTTCTTTTTTTTTTTTTTTTCTTTTACTTTAGAAAATAGGTTGGTGACGACTGATATAAAAGAACAGTACTGGTATACAAATATCAACACAAAAAAAACTCTGCTTTTTAAGATAAAATGAATCTTCAACATTAATTGATTAAGTATACCTGCTTGACAAACTTCGATGATTTCAAAGCCTATATTTTCCCCTTCTCTGTCACAATCTGTCCATATCACCAAAGACTGACAATTCTTGATCTCTCGTTCCAGAGTTTTCTGAGAATAAGTTCAAATTTTTTTTATAATAAAAGTAATTTGGTATACATTACACGACCAGCATGTAAAAACTAACAATATGCAGAAAAGCTATACCTTGATATCCATATAATTGGGTGGGCAATATTTTTCAACTGGTACACTGAATAAGTCAACAGGATTGCAGGCATTCCTACACATAAAAAAAAAAAAAAATTAATGTAGAAAAATGTTTTGCTATATTTTAAATAAAAAGTTAAATTTTTTTTTTTGTTACATTAAGTATGAGACATACCTCTAGAAATAATAAAAATCATTTTTAAAATGATTTACTTTGAATCCCTTTCACAATGTAATTTAATACATGGCTTGGTTAAGATATTTGATGAATTTAGTGGTAATTGAATTTATGTACACATTTGATTGAATTAGTACGATTATTAAAAAAAACAAAAAAACTATTATTATTATAAATACATTTTCCTGTTGAGATAGTGATCCCACTATTATCTAGATAGATATAGCGTGTATAAAAAAATAAATATAAGTATCTAAAAATTTGAAATATCATTTTACCATTTCTTGAAACTGCCAGTGAACTCTAAACCTAAGAGGTGTCCAGAAACTGATGTCATAACCATTTTAACTTCTTGGTTCATCAGTCTATAGTCAAATTCATAAATTTTGTTGAACTTTGAAAACCCTTCACGCTGTAGAATAATTTTGTTATAAGTTCTATTAACGACAGGATTTTGATTAGGCATACTACCTTGACAACATTAATTTTTAAAATAAAAAATCTTCACAAAAAAAAAACAATTTAGAAAATATTTCAGAATTTACCATTCGACTGCGTCCTTGAGACATAACATTAGCCAGTGATTTAGCTGCATCATTTTTTTCTGCAACATTCAGCACACGCATTATATTTCCAGGAATATTTTTTTGTGTTAATGTGCCAAACTTTCTTGACCATAGAAACTTAAAAATCATCAGAATAAAGAAGACAAGATCTTATCTTTATGCTTTTTTGATATGAATTAACCTGGTGAAAGAGAGAAATTTTAATCAATTAATTTAAAATGAATTCATTTTTAATTTTAAAAAATGCAACATAAATTCCATATGTATTTATTTTTTTATTGCTTTGTCAGTTTTGTACCAACCTAAATATTAAAGAAATAACTTTGGATTTTAGATTTGGTTATTTTCCTCTCCATCTAGATAAATATAAGGTAAAGCCCTATATTTCAACAGATAGAATGATAGATCAGACACAGAATTAAATTGAAATTTTAACAATTTTATGTATTTAGCACATAAATGAAATATGAATTACAGGTCATTGGATCAGTTTTCCGAAAATTAGATTTTTCTGACTTTGTCTCTATAAACCTCATACTATAATTAAATTGAATATTGTTAATATTATTAGCTTTTGAATCTTTTTCTTTATATACTGGTTTTCAGTCCTTTTTTATGCATTGTTATCTAACAGTCTAACAAGCCGATTTTAAACCAAATTAAATTTGCAAAACCATATAATGGTACTTAGCACCTTATCTTAAACGTAAATCTCTATTATTTCAAACATTTCAATCTAATCTATATATTTATCAATATCATATATCTCATCTGTACTAATTCTGTTTAAAAATTCTAACTGTCTAATAAACTTATCCCTAACAAAATAAAAAGTCAATATTATAGCCTATTTTTACTAAATTAATTAATTAAATACTGAGCCTGAGCTATTACAAAGTAATTTTTTGTAATTTGTTCATTGATTTAAATCATATGAATATGATAATAAATTACTTTTACAATTGAATGTTATCAAGAGCCAATTCCATCATCCGAGAAACGAAAAAAAAATATGTATAAGAAATAATTCAAATACCACAGCAGATAGTCTGAGATAGTGGAGAAAGACATAGAAAGAGAGAGTTGGCATTGTTTTCTCGTTCAAGCACCAGACAGACGTGCGATCACTTAATATGCTCACTTGTATCAGACAGATAAGACGGCTTATGCATACATGATACATAAAAGAAAGATCAGCTATTTTTATTTTAAAATTTTCTATTTTAACAAAACTATTTTTAAGAACCCACGATGAAATTATGAATGAGGTAGATTACCTACAGTTCAACAGTGACCACTGCTGGTTATTCAAGATTTATGTTTTGTTATTTATATCATGTTTTTTTAAATTATTAGCCTCTTATTAAGTCAAGTATTAAGTTATTTATCGATAGTGCCATAGTCTAGTCTAGGGTGACCAAATCATGAACTGGAAAAAACGGAACACACCCAAGGAGGGCTTGGGGGGATACCCTCCATCAGAAACTGTTTATTGAAAAATGCTCATATTTTTAACTATTTTGAGACTTAGAAATTAGAAATCTTTTTAAATTACCTTCACTTTTGTAATTTTATTTAAACTCTGAGTCTGAGGCATATCATAAACGAAACCGATTATTTTGCAGTGAATAGAGAATACTTATTTATTCATACATACATTACTTGAAGTTATATTATAAATTAGGAAATTTTAGTGATTTGAAATGTGTTTGGTTTTTTAGAAACAGGACATTTTCAATTTTCATTTAGGCGTTTGGTCACCCTACAGTCTAAGTCTAGTCAGTTGACTTGTGTTAGTTCAGTGGAGCTTAGTCTGAACTTAGTAGTAGTATAGTGGGTACTTATTATAATTAAGGTATTAAAATTAGTTAGTTACGTAATTTAAGTTAGTTTAGTCTAGTAAGATTTTTATTATTTGAAATTCATTATTTGTATTTATTTATTATGACGCCTAGCCCTCATTCTTTAGTTAAGTTAGGACCTATTATAAAAAATACCCACCCAGAAGTGCAAAAGTAACCTTGAAATGTACAAAACGATGCCCGCCTCTTTGAAGATGGTCAAAAGTTCATTTGGAAAAAAATAATGTAATCATATAGTTAAATAGCCCTAGTAATTCTTGAATTGTTCCATTTCAGCCGCCATTTCTGGAGGTCAGAGGTTTTGATAAATTAAAAAAGTTGATGACATTATTAAAGAATCAATACATAAGCATTGAAAATCATTTAGGTAAGAGTAAAATAATGTTTACTAAACGGGTATACCTAATAAACGTTATTTCAATAAACGAAATATAATATTATCTAACAATTAAATGAAATATAGTATATTATCAGTTCAATTAAAAAAGTAGGTAACAGTACAAGTAATCCTACATCTGTGTGTCTGTCTCTGTGGCGCAATCGGTTAGCGCGTTCGGCTGTTAACCGAAAGGTTGGTGGTTCGAGCCCACCCAGGGACGTACATTTTTAATAGGCAGATTCGTAGGAATCACGAAACAAAGTATAATTTCTTTTTTAAACTTAAAAAAAAACAAAAAAAAAAAACGTACTGCTAGAAATTCAATGACCTTTAAATAAAATGCTCTAAATTTCTTAAAACTCCTTACACCCACACAACGAAAGACTGCTGAAGTGTGTAGATGAATTCAGATGAACACTCACCTCTCTATGAAACCAAAGAATACAAAATGAATATAGACTTAGTAGACGAAATTTAATTTTTTTTTTTTTTTTTTTAATTAATTTTTGAAAATATTTTCTGCACATACATTCTTTAAGTAATGTACACTTTGACTAAAAAGTACAAAATAAAAAAATAAAAGTTAATATTATTTTAAAAACATGCTTTTCCAAAAAATGTACTAAAAAGAATAAAATAAATAAATGTCCCTCAAAACCTCAGGGTTGTAACAGTGATATGACTAAAAAAAAAAAAAGGTTTCTGGCGCCCACGGAATACAATAATGTTGTATGAGTTTTCCTTAGGCTGCTCTTTCCCTGTGTTCGTTTGTGTGTGGTTTAAATCTTGCCTCTCAATCCCCCCCCCCCCCACACCCTCACTTTAGAACACTTCTGGAAAATCGCGTTGTTGTTTTTTTAAAGTAGTTTTTTAAAAATAGTTTTTGTTGTTTGTTTCATTTGTTTATTTTTTTCAACCTTCGTCCATTTAGGCCAACCCACAGATTACATTTATTGCAGGCTGTCCCATCTACCACCACCAATGTTTCCTTTAAGCTGCGCGGCCACGCAGCTATCTCACAGACGCCGCGCAGCAGTTTTGAGTATCCGCGCAGCAAATTTCCATTTAAGTGTGTGTTTGTGTTTGTGGGCTGTAAAATGTTGTACACAAAAAAAAAAATTTGATGCTGTAAAACTTTGCACACAACTCTGTATGATTTTGCACGCGAACCAGCAACATTGACCACCACCTTAATTAATTTGACTATCTTCGCCACTACCCGGCGTTATGACTTCATATAAAAGTCACACATGGCAGGAATGAAAGTTATATGTGTCCTTAATTTGAATCAGTTTACATGGATTAACGACTCTATCAAAATTATTCGTGGGCTTTATTTAGTATAGGGGGGTCTCGATGATTTGAAATGGTGTACCCCTTACAGACTTAATAATCAGCTAAAAATTATTGTACCCAGTGAATATTATTTATTTTAAAAAAATTGGACTTCGCATCTGTATGCCTAAATTTAGGCTATTACTTATTTTTTTAAAGTAATAAAATCACCTATGTGTAGCACTTATATTATAAAAATGTCCAGAGTCACGGCCGAGCCACAGGTTAGGGACCAGCTGGATCCGAAATCCCTCCACTGCATGAAATGCTGATCTAAAAGGAACTTTTCAAGATAAGTTGTTGGATCCAGCTGCCGACGAAGGATTGAAGATGGCGTTTATCACTATGACATCGCTAGCATCTGTTTGAATTTACTATGTCAAAGCCGGATCTCCTGAACATGCTGACATTGCCTTGAAAGTTCTTCTCCCTTTTCCTTCTGCGAAACTGGCTTTTCGTCCATGAGCATTATTTCGAAAAAGAACCGGGGCAGTATTCGTTCTCCTTCACTCTTGAGGGGCCGTCCATAATGTACGTCACGTTTTTTTTTTTTTTTTGTGATAATTTTTTACCCCACCCCTTCCTTGTCACAAATCTCAGGACCCCCCCCCCCCCCCCCCCCCCCCCCAACACAAAAAAAAAAAAAAAAAAATAAAACCGAAAAAAAAACCGAGTTAATTAATAATGTTTAGTAAAACAAAGGGACTTTACCGGTTACTAGAGACAGTTTTAATATCAGTGAAAGGTAGCTCTAATAACACTTGTTCCTGCTCGTCAACAACGTAGACTCCCGTCCAGTTGACAGCGATGATGACATCATTTTTCGGCAGTGTTGGTCCAGAGTGCTTGCAAACTTCATAATATCTTGAAAACAGTAATGGCCACTTGTGCTTGGCATAGCTTACAATGTCTCTCTTCACCTGGACATAAAAAAATATTTAAAAAATACATAGAATAATAATATATTTAAAAATTTTCCCCCGTTCAATAGTAACAAAAACGCCTCTTATGTNCCCCCCACTTTTATTTATTTTTTTTGTTTTTTTGCATTCGCCCCTGCTTCCAGTTGATTCGCAAATATTTTGTAAACTGTCATACAATTTATAAAAATAAAATAATATATTTTTAGGAAATGATCAAAAATTAACGTTGGAGCTCTTCAGATCGTAACTGAAGGAAACATTCCAACAAGAAACTCTGCATGTATCATGACCCAAGTAAAAATAGCCATAGCGGCGCGATAATGTCATGTTGACATTTTTGTATGGGCCTATATTTAATTTTAATCTCATTACTCTCATTCCTGGAAATCCCATGGAACCACCTTTTGAATGTATTAATTTGAGATTAGTGATTCATATTATCTAGCAACAGTCCGTATTGATTAGAGCATAGTTATCTAACAACAGTCTGTAATGAGTAGAACATATTTATCTAACAACAGTTGTCAACAGTCTGTCTGTGTTTGAGTAGAACATATGTATCTTTAATAACAGTCTGTATTGAGTAGAACATATTCATATTAAATCATATGTTTTAAGTTTTGTTTTTTTAACTTTTGAAAATTAGTAGGATAACTTTATGATGAATATCCATACTACTGCCCCCATCCCAACCCCTTGGGAACATTCATTTTCATATAGACTAGAGTTGACTAGACTAATAATTAATTAATTATTAATGTTTGGCGCTCTCTTTAAAAGTTTATCCCGACTTATAATGACGTAAGTGCGTTATTAGGCATTAGGGCACTTCGTCCGTATCCGGAAATTTGATCGAAATAAATTTCGTCGACGGTAAATTGATCGACGGTAATTTGATCGAACGGAAATTTGGTCGAAACCTTTTTTCAGTTTTTACGTTTAAAACGTTTGCTTAAAATTTCTTTTCGAACGCATTATTTTGTTTAGCAATATATTATAGTGCGTTGAAAAAGAAACTCTACGAAAATTTTAACTGAAAAAAATTTTCGACCAAATTTCCGTTCGATCAAATTTCCGTCGATCAATTTACCGTCGACGAAATTTCTTTCGATGAAATTTCCGGTAACCCACTTCGTCACTTCACTAATTCATAGAAAATACTTTGTCATATTAAAAACAGCAGAGTTTCCATGGATATTTAACATGTTAGACATTTTACCATAATAGTGTTGTCGGTTGTTACGAATCCTTAAACAAAACAATTTATGTTGGCTCAATGAAACGGTTTTTGGACTCAATTAGCATAACCTTTGACCTTTTCGTCAATCGACCAACGAGATGACAGATCGCCTAGCTCATGAATATTCAATGTTTGTATTGCTTCGGGGAGTAGCGAGGTTAGGAAGGAAAGGTAACTCTTCCGACTGGCACAGGATAGGACCACAGTTTTGAGTGCTGTGTTCGGTTTCAAAATACACTAGCTTCACCTATTTCGTGATTATCAAGGATATAATGAGATTTAAAATGTGTGGATAGTTTTCAAACTTCTCACCTGTGTGAGTTTACTACAGGTATATAAGATTGTGTGCCAGGAATTACAAAATTGAAGGTAAATATTATAATATTATTTAAATACCGTAAATAATGGGCCAACCTATCATATATTTGACAGCACACAGCAGTCACTGGGTAGCATTACCGTTACGAGTGACTTAAAAATTAGTTGCAGAGGACCTGTCACCTTGGTCTAAATGTTTAGAAATGTGCTGTGTTTTTTTTCCATATCTTCCACTGTTGTCTGTCATCCTACTACAGTCTATAAGGGGAGGGGGGGGGGATGGTACAAATCTAGAAATGGGTTTCCCCTAGAAATGTAGCCAGGTGACATGCCTTGCCTTTGTAAGTTAGTTATAGTTAGGGCTTTTAAGTAAATTTTTACTCTTACTCTTTTAAGCAGGCCTAAAGGTCGTAGTTTTAAGGTACCGTAAAGTAAAACTTAAAGGGAAAAAGTACAACTAATAAAAAATGATGAGGGTCTACTTAAGTCTGCTAATTTTATCAAAATATTTATTAAAATTAAGTGTATTTACCCCAATAAATAAATTATTATGAGAAGTGTGGAACGTATACTGGCTTGGACATGGAAGTGGAAGACTTGGGCAGTAATGAGTGCTTCAATAATTTGTGACGATCCATTATTGCGTTGTCTAAATTTTGTTATAAATATGTGACGATTTGGAGAGAACAAAGAAAAATAAGGGGTGGGGGTAAAAAAATCAGCCAAAATAGCGTTAAGTCATTTATCGCTGGCCCCAGGTTAGGGTCAGAGTGAAGGGGGATGGGCCAGAGTGAAACAATGTGTTATCTCTTCATATACAAAATTCGTTCCCCTGGCTACCTGTGCTACACCATTGGCTACGTGTCTTACTGTAAGCATAAAAAACAGCATTAACATTTATCAATTTGCGGTGCCTGCAATGGCGTATTATATGATGTCAATTTCGTGTGGCCCTATGTCACTTTCGTGTGGACCTGTGTTACTTTCGTGTGGTCGTGTGTCACTTTCATGTGATCG